GAATCCTTATCACACCATGAAACAGGCACTTTTCTCTTTTTGGTTGTTGAAAAAAGCAGAGGAACAAAGTTTAAAGACTAGAAGGGAAGACAGAAGGTTGTGTGTACACAAACACTGATAAAATTTGGCACAGAAAGTTGGGAGGAGGTCACCAGAGTAGGAAATATCCTCACTAGAAGTTTTTGTGACTCTTGAGATAAATATGGATCACAGCTGATAAACACTTCAGGGTCTTTTGCTGCTCTGGGTTAGATCCCCACTGCTCAGGGATGATTTCAAGAGAGGTGTAGGAACACAGAGCACAGTGTTCCCTCCACTACAAAAATCCTGAAAGGTTTAAAATTTCTTCAGCCAGAAGCTGAAGGGGTTTAATTCAAGTGATCATATTTAGTAGTTGCTGACAAATCTATTTTTGTGAATTTGTCTAATTCTTTTGAAATCAATGTGTGCTTTATCCCATGGCAGTAAGTTCTACAACATTTTGGTATTTGTTACAAAAAGGTGTTTTTGGTCCTGTTTGCTGGTTATGTCCTGATCTCACCGTGTTTTGCTGTCCCTGTGTTGTGAGGGGTGATCATTTTTTCACCCTTTTAATCACTGAATCCTAACTTTATTTCTTTCCTTATCAAACCACTTTTTGGCCACCTTTTCCCTAGCTGAAAAGTCCCAGTTATGATGTTGGCTCCTTTGATTTGGCGATGACTGAATGCATTTTCAATTAAACACAATACTTCCTAATGAAGCCATTTGATCATTAGTACTTCCAATTCACCAGCAGCAAAGTTGAGGTTTGTATGGATTTTTTTATGAACTGTGGGAGGGATTTGGAAGGACTTAGAGCATAGGAAGTGTCAGAGTGTGTGAATTCTGAAGGCAAGAGAATTTTTTTATGCCCAAGGAGTGGTGGTGATACGACACTAAACTAGGGGTGGGTAGAAACCAGAAAAAGTCAGCTGGGGGCTGCTGTGTTTGTGGTGCTGTGCCTCTGATCTGCTGAATTCCTGGCTGGATCAGCAAATGGCTGGACACATCTATCATGGAAATGCCACAAACCTCAGTGCAGTGGAAGCAGCAAAATCAATGTGGCAATGTGAAACACAGTCCATTTAGGTTTAAACATTTGGGTCAATTTCAATTAATCTTATAGACCATACTGAAATAGTAATTTTCATCCCTCTTGTATGACATTTAGAACCATCCTGACATTTCTCATTGTTATTATACCAAGCACCTTTACCTGAAGAAAACAAAATGTTTTGCTCATGTTGCAGGGAAGCGTGCTGGAATTTACAGCATTCAGAAAAATAGGAGAAATTAATTATTTTTTTTTTTTATGATAGCAAATGGGGAAAAGCCAGAATTTCCAGTGGCATGCATGCATTAATTGGTATCTTATGTTTATTATTACTGCTCTGCATGCCTTGTTTCCTTCCAGCTCTTGGAGATGTGGCTGGCCTGGTTAGATGCTACTGAACAGGGAGAACCAGCCCATGCAGCACTGAGCCCTTGGCCTCCTCTGCCCTTTGGGATTCCTCTTCCCTTCCTTTTGGAGCCCTTCTCTTAGTGGGGGTAGGAAATCCAAACTCTGTGAGAAGACACAATAAAAACCACTGTGCTTGGGATTCTGCTGCTGGCAGACCCAAAGTCAGTCTTTGCTAACAGGATACAGATCTGGGCTTGGATTTTGGTTGCAGAGGTGTCAGTTTGGCCAGAAATATGAGAAGGTGATCTCTCAGCTCAGACACGTGGCAGCAGTGGGTGCAGTGATCTCTCCCCCTTGACTCATAGGCACTGGTAGTGGGACCCTTCAAGGGAAATTATAGTTTTAGCAAATTAAGAGGTTTAAAGCTAAAGGCAGTGGGGAGATTGGAAAAAAATATAAATAAAAATTGTTATGTATTGTGGATCTTCTCTAGTGTCTGATGTGGGATCATGAAGTTGGGGCTTGGATATGGCTTTGCTGCAGGTTTGAGTGGGAGAAGGAGAACACTAAGGGATTTCCAACAGTAGAAACACTGCTGAGGCCATTAGTGGGGGTGTTATACTCCAGGCTGGGACATTAATCACTGTGGAGAGATTTAAAATTTGTAGAGCAGATGCAGGGCTGAGGACCAGCCTGGGTCTAACTTACAGCACATGGGAATCTGGCCCAGACATTTGGGATTTTTCTGTGTCACGGTCTTTCTGAAAAAAACTTCCTTAATTCTCTAACTGCTGTCAGAGCCCAGGTCTCTTCCAGAAGATTCCTCCCTGGCATTGCCACTGCTCCTGTGCCAAGAGCATCGTGGGGTAACACTGGTTCATGCTTGCAGTGACTCAGGGATGGATCAGGCCCCATGGCTGCAGCCAGCTGCCAGCAAACTGCTCAGCATCTGCTGAGAGTTGGCAGAGCCTTCCCGTGTGCCTCAGCCTCACAGGCCAACAGTGTCCTCACAGGCATTGTGCCACCAGCTCGAGCGGAAACACTTCCAAACTTCAGGTCACAAATTCCTGGCTCTTTATATTTGGGGCTGCTGTTTCACAAGAAAAGAGAGAACCGATGCCATTGCTGTGTTCTGACACTGAACACTTCACTTGTGTGAAAACTTGATTGTTTAATTGCCCACTTTGTTCAAAGTGTGCCAAATTTGAGTCCAATTCTAAAATTTGTTATTGCTCCTTGTACCTCAAGGAAGAGTCTTCCTCTGATCTGGATTCATCAGGATCTCTTGCTTAATCACCTCTGTAAACATCTTGCACGTCTCTGGAGAAGACCATTGCTCTCCAGACCCATCCTTGTGTTCCCCATTCAGCCTTACCCTGAGGAATTACACAGCTTTAGCTGCTCCTGGTGTGCTGAGAGGCATGAGCTTAGCTCCTGGCTGTGTGGGTGTTGGTAGATGTGGAGGGCAGTGAAGGGTGGGGCTCCTACACCTCACTGAGGCTGTGCCCTCCATCCCACACATCCCTCATGGCTTCCCACATCTTTGAAGCTTCATTTTGGTAGGGATACTGATCCAGTGAGATCTTGTGGTGTGTGTTTTTGGATTGTTGTGCAAGTCAATGCCCTGCATGGGAAAGAGGGTGTGGGAGATCAGAAGGAAGATGAGAGGGAAATGCCCATGTGTGCAGAACGCTGTGCAGGGCTGTAATTGGTGATCCCAAAGGGAAAACACCACAGACACAGCAGGGATGCTCACACAAAGATGCTTCTAGATTAAAGTGCCCTGCTCTGGAGTTTCCCTCATGGGCAGCAGATTAATTACCCTCCAACACCTTTAGACTGATGGATGCTTGGTCCTGTGGCCCCAACACCAGAAGTTCTGCCTGCAGGGACAAGAGAGCTCTTTCACTGCCCTTAGAGCCCTGTGGTTACCAGGAGCTTGTTCAGCCAGCTGTGTAACTCCTGAGGGAAGGAGGGAGAGAGAGGTGTAACTCCTGGGGTGGCTTTAGGGATGCAGGGGGTGTTGGGGGAAGCTTCCCACAGCAGGGAACCTTCTCCTCTGGCAGGTATCCACGTCCTTTAATTTTCTCTTGTACTCCTAACTCTCCACTGAGGTGTGCAGGAGAATCACACCACCATCAAAATGGGTGCCTGTACCTCTGCAGGTTTCAGAGGTCTGTGTGCCAGTTACTGCCCAAAGCAGTGAGAATTCCCATGCTAAAGCATGAGCTCTTGTGTTGTGACCCAAAAATGCAGTGACCAACTGTGCTGAGGAAAGCTCAGGAAAATCCAGTCTCCATCAAGGGGACCAACAGCTGTGCATTCTACCTACCCCTGCCAAACCTTCTGGGAGCATCTGGTGGCTGACCACTGCTATAATGAGTAAATGTTGTACAAATGTAGTACCATGTCCTTGTTGGAAGGGTGAGAGACAAAGCTGTGTCTGTGTGAGAGTCTTGGGTCATCTTTGAAGACTAAAGAGCAAGGTAATCAGTTACCACAAGCCTGCCTGCAGGCCTTCAGCAAATCTGGCTCCTTTCCATAGCAGAAATAATAGCAGTGTCCTTCCCCTGGTAATTTTCCAAATGATTATTTGAAATAATACGTTGCTGTGATCCAGCAAAAGAGTTAGGAGATTTATGAGAGCGTTTGTCTCCGAGAGGAAGAGCAGCTGTGAACTCTGTGGGCTGGCAGTGAGCAGCACAGGGCAAGTGGCACATAAAATACTCGAGTGTCTCATTGCTCAGGTCCACTTGGAGACAGGGACACAGATCTCATCCCTCAGCACTGGCTGCCAGCATCCCAGGTGACCAGGCAGATGGTGCTGGAGCTGCTCTGGGCTGGGAGGACACACAGGGGGTGTGGTGGTGATGGATTTCTCCTCTGCCTCCCTGGGGCAGCTCTGCACAAAAGGCAAAGGGTGTTCTTGGTCCTGGTGTTGCCCCTTCCTGTGGTAAAAGCTGAGACAAAGCCCTGTTTTAACAGCCTGGCTTGGAAATAAAGATTGTGGCGTTGCATAGAAACCAATCCAACAGTGTTGGAGAGCGTGTTCTCATGGGAGCCTCTGGCCATGCGCCTGCTTTTACTTTATTTTGTTTTTTAAAGGCAGAATTAGGCTATCTTAATCTAAGGGGGGTTTTTTCATTTCTTTCCTGTTCTTGGATTTTGGAGTGAAGGGGGGAAATCTGCAGTTGCTTCAGGACCAACAGGTATCCTATGAACAAATAACTAGGCTCTTCTTTCTATTAACTGGAACCCTGAGCAACTGGGTCTAGTGGGATGTGTTCCTGCCCATGGCAGGCACATTGGAACTGGACAACCTTCAAGGTTTCTTCCAAGCCAAACCATTCTATGATTAAATAGCCTGTGATGGCTTTGTCAGTGTTGAGGAGGTGCTTGTAGTGGGGTTTGGCAGATGATACTGCCAGGCTGGAGTCAGTGAAAGGAGCCCCAGTGAAACTGTGAATCTGTCCTGTTGTTTAGGGAGGGAAAATAGCACATCCTGACAGGAACATGTGGTGAAGATGTGCATGTCCTCATTGTCATAATGGCATTTTCTCTCTCTTTTTTCCTCCAGGTTATCTTGCACCCCGAAACCTTCCCAGCGCAGGCTTCTTCCCGTTCCTGCAAACGGTGCTGTGTGATTCCGATGCCAGGTGTAAGGGCACACCATACACACCAGAAGATTTGCTGCCAAGGCTTAATGACATCTCATCCCTCAGACTGTAAGGGAATCTGAATATTTCCAGATGTTAGGAGCTGTAAAACAAAGCCTGTTTTGAGGGGGAGGGAGCATCCATGAATATCTGTATGTGTGCACAAGTTTGTTCACAGCAGATATATCTCAACTACCTGTTCTAACAGCTGTCTGACACTTAGAAAAGAGAATATCAACTGCAACTGGACACTTCAGAAATAATCACATTAGGAAGAGCTCTCAGAAATGTGTCCACTTATTCAGGCTTGAATATTCTACTGAAGGGAATTTTGCTGCCTGAGAAAAACTCACCCAGATCAAGGCCAAGGAACATTTTTTTTGCATGACTGTGGATCAGGTCAGTGATAAGACTTTCCCCCAGAGCAGTCCAGAATGCTGATCTGAGAGGGATCAGTTCAGGATGCTTTAGCTGGAAGTTTGGATGGATCTTTGAGCAGTTCCTCCAGGTGCCAGCCAGAATGGATGTCCTCTCTGCAGGCCATCAAACATGTTGGGTAACACCTGATAATGCAGAAACTATTTTTGCCCACAAAAGTACAGAGATTTGCAGTGTGAGCTGGCTTGGCACGTTTTGTTGGAATGTCAGTTTGCTGAAAATGGAAAAGTTCAGTGGGACCATTTCAATTTCTTGACATTCCATTTGAAGTTAAGTAGCATTTACTTTGAGGCATTCCAGCCAGGGTGGTTTCTACATCTTGGCTGCCCAGTTCTGACAGACCCTTGGGGAACATGCTCAGCCTGGCTGACTCATGGAGAGCTAAAAATCTGGGCATCTCACAATGTCCCTGCTTGCCCATCTTTGCTTTCAGGTGAGAGGCTGCTCCATAGTCAGTCTCAAAATCCCCCTTGGCCAGAGCTTGAGAGCCTGAAGAGCTAAAATGGGCCCCACCAGAGATCACACCAGGCAGTCCTGGGGTTGGTGGCTCCTTAAGGATCCTCCTTAGTGCAGAGGGAGTAATTTCCCAGGCCAAGTCAGAATTTCTCCATGAGTAGGAAGGATGTCTAAGGTTGTGGGCAACTGAAATTGCACAAGGTGAATCCTAATAAAATTCAAGGTCATGCAGCAGAAGAGAGGAGGGAAGGCAAAGCCACATGGAGACCAGATGCCTGGATTCACAGCTCTGTTCCTCAGTGTCATTGCTTTTCCCTGGGCATGCTAAACAATGGTTCATTTGGGGTATTGAAATGAAGAAATGGGAGCTTCTAGTGCCAAAGCTGGAGGTCTTCCATGGGTTTCAATAGCTACAAATCCTCCTTGCTTTCTGCTTTTGGTTTCTGAAAAGCTGTTTAGGAAATAGGTGGTTTTTCCTGCCAAATGAAAATCAAAGCATTTGGCCTAATTTTGTATCAAGAACATGAGTCATTAACAAGCATCTTGACCACTCTTGATGCTCGAGGTTGTCTGTGGGAAGTATCATTATAGATATGTAGCCATACCTACCCTTGTAGGGTCAGTGTCAGCCTTAGTGTGTTCTACAAGAGAAAACACCAACTATTAAATAGCCACAGCAAAACTAGAAGGATGCAGCAGGGTCTAAAACCTCAGGAAAAGATTCCTTGGGGAGGGGAAAGCTTCAGATGAGTAGGTGCAGCTCTGCCTCGGGTGCAGGATCCCCGTTGGTGAGTTTGTCACAAAGTGTTTGAGCTGTGGCCCTTCACAACCTGGATATATTGTTTTGTAATATTCAGCTAATTCAGGCTGTGTTTATCCTCTCCCATTGTGCAACTCACTGAAGCTCCTGTTAAACTGTTTTATAACTTGCCCTAAAACTATGTACAACCAGAGGTCAGCAGAGAAAATGGGCAAGGTTCTCACCTTTGATTCTGTTCCTTAGAGGAATTTACCAAAGTGTGCATGGTATGGTTGCTTGAAGTTTCCCTTAATAAAAGGGAACCAAGTCCAAAAACCAAGCTCAGCAACAACTTCTTCCACCTTTTTCTCCTGTAGTGGAATGTTTGGGATGGATGAGTAAGGTCCTGTTGTCTGGAAGGATTTCTTGGTAAGGCCATGCACTTTATAGATTTGCTTCCCCAAGATACATGCCAGGCCTCCAGAAGGAACCAGACTTTTGCATTGCTCAGATTTCAACACACCTGCCATGAAATCCAGCCATAGACACCTGAGTTAAGGCAGTAAGTTAATGATAAGAAATTCTGGCAGTTGTTACAGGCGTCCCTTCTTTTTTTCCTTTTTCCTTCTTTCCCACAGGAAGCACGGGAGCTCATCCAGAGTAGCCAAGGACAGGCAGCCATCACCATGGAGTGCAGAGGTTCCTGAAAGCAGGAATGCTTCACTGGGTGGGTTACTCGCTGCTCTGGGAAGTTCTGATCTTTGCAGGCTGATCTTTTGAAGATCTCTGGACAGAGCTGCAATCCTCAGGGCATTACTGGAATGATTTATGTGTTTCATAGAGGCACGTGACTGTGGCCACGATATTAGTGTAAATTTTTATGAACAAGTACAAGTAACTGTCTGTAGAGAAGACTTTGTAATTTGGCCAAGAAACCAGGATTAAATGGTTGTGCTTCACAGGAGCAATGCAAGATTGATTGGACATTAATTAGAGACCTGGCTATTTATGGAATATTGCCCTTTTACTACCCACAAATTCTCCATAAACAGCTTAAGATTTTTTTTTTTTTTTCAAATGTGTTTTTATCCACGGTTATCCAGCAAATAAGTTGTCTTCTGTGCTAGAGTGGATATTTATTGTTGGTGATGTTCTCCTCTGATGTGATTCTCTTTCCTGAAGGAGCCTTCAGTCTGAAAGTTTCCATAAAATCATTACAATTATTATTTATTGATGGTAATGGCTGGTACAATCCGCAAGCCATCGTGATGGATAGTCCTTTCTGCAGGGAGCTCACGATGAAATGAATGATTACAGATTTGCATTTGCCTGTTCTGCTCCAGCCATTCACTGCTCCAATTAGCATTCCTGCCAGCACCCTCTGTGGTGCACAGACAGAAAAAGGCAGAATGCAAAAGGGACCGAGTGCAGAGATGTGAGGAGTGGAAAAGTAAATCAATGAACAGTTATGGGAACTATTGACTCATGTTGATGGTCAGGGAGGAACTCAGTTATACATTTTATTTAAAAAAAAATTAAAATTGATAGGCTGTGGCCCCATAAGTTGCAGTGTCATCCAGAATTTAATTATATCAGAAAAAAAACCCTAAAGTACTTACAGGATGCCATGGGCTGTACCTTTGGAAACAGATTGATAATGCACCCAAAGCTGTAGGTAGCTGTTCTGTGTTCTGGTTTTATGTAGCAAAGAGGTTTTAAAAGACATAAGTAAAATACGGTGTTTCAAACTGTTATTGCAGCATTTGGGGATTTGGTATCTCATGGAGAGAAAAACCTTCAGAATATTTCATCACCATCCAACTTGAATTCCAGCACCCACATGTTCAACAAGATCCTCAGTTTTGGGAAGGTAAGTCTGTATTTGCATAGTAGGTGAGTGTGAACATTTATATATTCTCATATTTAAAGAATTAGAAGCTCAAAGTACCAACACACAGCTTTTATTGCTTTAGGATCTCCCCTATTATGAGAATGAGCTTTATTTTGGAAACACAGTGATTGTGGGTGGATTTTTAAGCTTTGTGGTAAGTTTTTTATCCTCTAGGCAGAAACCAGGCAAACCTCGAGACATAATAGCATGAAATACAAAATATAGTCACACACAATAAATACCCTGAGATACTTTGTTCAGAACTTGTGTGAGTTAAGATATTTGCAGTACATTTTCTTCCTTATGAAATTAAAGATATGATGTCACAGGCTTTGACATTCAAGTATTTATTTGCCCATGATAGTCCTGCAGTGGCATCAGAGGTGCAGTGTGTTTATTGTAAATATATTTAATATTTATAGAATCAATTCCTTTGTAATAGAAATTTGTTACCATGTAATGGACACTGCTTTTGTGTTATGGTGTCAAGGCCTACAAACACTTACAAATACATTTCTCATTGTAACAGATGAGGAATTGGAGGGGTTTTAGTGACACTGTTCAGCTGTTAGAATTCTGTCTATATGTAAGTGCTGTAACCACAATGCTTTTCAGATGTTACTGCTATCCCTTATGAAAAGTCTCATCACTGCCTTTAGAACCATCCCAAATACAATGTTGCTCTACAGCTACCCTGAATGTTTTGTTGTTCTTTCAGAGCCAGGGCCAATACTCCACTGCAGGGAACCTCAGGGCCCTGCTGTGCCAGGTCTTGTCGCGGTACCTGGCACATCCCGGTGCCACGGGAGGGAGCATGGCAGCCAATATCCACCACGCCTTCTGCTTCACCAACTCATCGCTTCTCGAGTCCTTTGCCCAGGAGTTCAGGACCCAGCTCTCCCAGGTAAGTGCCTGGCACCTTCCCTGGGAGCTGCAGTGGCAGTTCACACACATCAGGCAGGGTTTGGGAGCTACAGCACTGCCTCTCGTGGCAGGAGTTGCTCATCTCTGTACCTAAGTGCACTGGGCAAGGGCAGAGTGAGGCTGTGTCTTGTGCATGGGGTTGGCCCAAAGACCTCCAAGCTGGGTACATGGCTTGGAAAGCCAAGGGCCATCCAGCCATCAGCTCGTGGCCACCAAGGGTTCTCACATGCCTGGGCCTTGCTTCTCCTCTTTATTTGCCCTGCTGCAGTGGCAGGTCAATAGAACAGTGTGAAGATGTGGTGTAAATAAGAATGTTTAAACCTTGGGAAGGCAATAAATTTAATTGTGTATTACCTCAGCAGTATAACTTCATCCAGTGACTCCTGCATCTGATCCAACAGTTCATGATTGAAGCAGTACTTGTCTTTGGGAAAGCAATATAATTAAAGCAAATTAATTCTTTAAAGATAAAGCCTTCTTTTTTTTTTTTTTTTTTTCCTTTGCCAAGGTTAGGATTGATATTAATTTTCTTGTATTCTTGTATAGTCTTCAGACTCTTTAGGACATTGTGAATCATAGGGCTTGTCTGAACAGAGAATTTATTGTACAACCTGAGATGTGAAGGTAAAACACAGTCACACTCTCAGTTATTGCCTATCCTTTGAATGTATTGTTTGCAGATTTGCATGCAAGTGCAGTGCCAGCTGAAAAACATAAAAAGACCCCCCCAGCAGCAAGGCTCCTGGTTATTAAATAATTTCTTCTGGTTCTTAAATAAGTTTTTACATTTTTATTTGTTAAGGTGAAGCACAACCCACAGTACCAGGAGACCTTTGTCAATGAAATGGTCTCATTTCTGACGCTCGTCTCCCAAGTGCAGAATGACACCTCCCTGTGGCACCTGCTTTTGCTGGCCCCAGATGTGTTTCAGGACAACATGCAACTGCGAGACATAATTCATTTCCTTCAGAATCCAAGCAGGTAAAACAGAGAAAATGGCAGGAGGAGCACTGAAAGCTGGTGGGTTTGTGTACTGACCTCTAAGGACATCACCTCTCCTCTTGAAAAGAAGGGTGTTACCTTAAAAGCATGATTTGTTTGGGGAGTGATGCAGCTCCATGCTAATGCATCTCTGAAGGTGTCTGTGGACTGTGAGCAGTGTGTTGTTTTTCAGTGACTCTTGTGTCATTCTTTTAATGGGAATTTGATATAAACTCTTGAGTTTTCTCCCAGCCTGCTTAGAGGCACTGTCATGCCCTTGTGCAGATAGCAAAGCTGGTGAATCACAGCCACTGCCTTTGGTGGAAGAAAAACCCTCCTGGCTGGATAAAGAAAGCAGCTGGCTGCTTCTTTCCAGAAAAGCACAGGGCCAAGTTCAGGTTGCTTTGAAACACCTCAAGCACTTGTAGGGGAGCCATAATGCTGTTTTTTTAAAATTGATTACCTAATCTACTTCTGGTTTAATCTTTCAAGACTGGTCCCAAGAAAGAAGAGAGGGAGCCCAGTTTTCTACACTACAGGCTTTAACACTTCTAACTTGAAGAAGAAAGTGCCAGTTATGTACTTGCTCAGTGGTTATATGAAAAACAGAGCTGGTTTATCTGCATTATTTAACTGCACTGAAATGTTTGATCCAGTTCTCACCTAGGACAATACAAGATTCTAAAATGGGCTTAGTCTTGAAATCCCTTTCCTGGGCTGTAGTTTGGCTAAACTCTCCCCAGTCTCCAGAACACCTGAGGCACTCAAGATTAAGGGGTTCTGTTCCAAGTCATCTTCTGGATCCATGACTGACCCTGCTATAAAATATTCTGGATAGTCCAGTTGTTACAGTACATGGAGGACACCAAGAAACTGAGTGTCTTCAGACTGCTTTTTGTTTTTATCTTGCATACATGAGCACTTGGGCTAAGATGTCAAAAGGAAGTTGTAGAAGCTTTGCTATTTTTATTGCACCCAGGCTTAGAGGGACTCACTTTTGATCACTGGTGTGTTGCTGAGGCACTTAAAAACCTGTACATTTAATATCAAGGTAATTTTCCATGCTGCATTGTGAGACCCATGTGTAAGCTGTAATGTCCTTATCCTTAAAGGAGTCAGTAGCAGTGTGGCAAGAATTGTAATTTTATTCAGAAGCGTTTTGTTCATGCTGCTGTTTCAGTCACAGGATTATTACATTTGTTTGCATTTACTGGCTTGCAGAGCCCAGCCTGAGAACCAGCCCTGTTGCAGTGCCCAGGGAGAATTAATATTTACTGTGCTGCTCTCCTTTGCTCTACAGCTGCAGAGCTGGGCCAAGTTATCACAGGCACGACAAAGAGGCACACAGAATTTCATCACCAGAACTGTGCAGTGCTTTTATGCCTGGCATCTGGCACTGTAAATGCATGAGTAAAGAGTTATTGCAAAGAGATTGCACAAATAGTACTTTTAATGATGCTTACAAAAGCACATCTTAGCGAGCCTGGCCACGTCTCTTACTCAGGCAGAACTCCTCAAGAAGTGCTGTACAGGGAATTTTTTTTGGTGGTAGAAGTATGAAGGTATAGAAGAAAAGAACTTATGCTCATTGTGGCATCTGTGTTAACCAAGTAATAAACACCACCAGTGTGAAACTTCCAAGTCATGAATCCTATAGAAAGTTTAGCAGCAAATTTTGTTTCTCATGAAAACCTGTTTTGCAGACTGATTTCACAAATGTTCCTGTTTGTTGCTGTAAGATAGTTTTTCAACTAAGCATGTAAGCTGAACTTTTTCTCTATAGACAAAGTCTGCAGAAGCCCTGCAAGACTGAAATAAAAGGGCAGCAAAACAACACTTGTTTTCATGTTTGCTGCCTTCTGATCTGCGTGATATGCATCCGTTTTTGGCAAGCCTGTGCCTGCCTCCTCCTTGGCTCTGCCATTGCTCAGCTAAATATGTCATTTATAACTGAGTTTCTTCCCCTCTAAGACTCTTACAAGCGCATCTGCAGAATGAAAATGATGAGCACCAAGCCCACGAAGCCTGCACAGAGACATTATGTTAAATCAGGAGAGAAGAGATCCCCAGTGCTCTGCTCTCAGTAGCAGCCTGTTCCCACAGATCAGTTTGTATTTATTCATGCCACTGAGATCAGCCCAGCCAGGTTCTTTGTGTGTCACCTGCAGAACTTGAGGCAGGTGAGAGAGAGAGAGATGGTGCATTTCAGTGACCCTGCACCTACAGTGAAGGCTGCTCTTTGTACAGGAGAAGAAAAATGGACTAATAATCACAGTGAAGTTTTCAGTAACCTGCCCACCTGAGCAGGCAGTCCTTTAAATGAGTTCCTCTGTGAAACAATATGCCTGATTATCAGCTTGTTCCTTCCTAAGACTGAGAAACATTCCTTGCTTCCCTGTCAGCCTGGCTATTACAGCATAAAAAAGGGAAAGAATGAGAATTGGAAGTGGCAACAGTTATTTGTGATTGCTTCTTCCTACCACAGATGTTTTCCCCCCTGGGATCCCTGCTCTCCCTGGAGCCTTGTCTCCTTGATTCTTGGGTGTTTTAGGAGGAAATTCCCCTGCAACAGTGAATCACATGGCTGGTGTGTCACCTGGGTGTTTTCTGAGACCTGCTGGCTGGATTTTAGTGGTCTGGAGATTTTAGATAACTCTGAAAAAGTGCACCTAACGGGTGCCACATGTGTGTTTGTGTTTGTTAATACACCACCATGGCTTTCCCATCAAAGTCCCCAGTGTTTGTATCTTCTGCATGATTAAACAAATAATTAAAAATATGGGAGATGTCTGTCAGACATTTTAAGAATGATAGGCTGTGCTCCAGCTGTTTCCTATTAGAACATTTGTTTTCTCCTTTCTCATAAACCTGTAACCACAATTTATTTTCCCTTCCTTCCCCCTCAGTGTTGTGCTGGCAGCTCAGAATGTCTCCGCATCTCTTGTGAGTGATGACAGATTCAAAACTCTTCAAAATGGGGTTACAGATTCTCCACATTCCCTGAACTGCTTGGAGCAAGGTAAGACTCCTCCATTGAGTCATATCTCTGCTGAAAACCTGTGGTGCTAAGGAGAAGCAAACTGCAGGCTAATAAGTAACCATACAGATTGCTCACTGTTCGGGGCTCAGCATAATGGATTCTTCCTTCAGCTTTTTACAAATGTGACTAAAATGGCTCGTTTGAAATGGAAAAGTAAAAAGGCTTGGGTTTGTCAGTAGGCAATGAATTTACATGAGTTTGCAGCCTCAGTGCAAATGGGGAGCAATAATGTTTTACCTTGATTTGCTTTTTTGGGGGGTGATGTCAAAATCTGCCTCTGGTTGTGGACTCTGTCAAACTCAGCTCGGTGTATCAAGGCAGGGACTGAGGCTGGGCTGCACAATGAGCTGTTTACATAGAGATGAGCCATTCCTTTCAATCCCTGTCCCTTCTAGCAGGGACAGTCCTGGATAGCCCCCTCTAACTAGGGATCTGTGAACAGGCAAGGGAAAGGAACAGCAACTAAATGCTTCAAGGGACAGACAGGGATTGCTGTCCCTTCTGTACTTGTTTCGTGGAGATTGTGGAAGTTGAGGTGGGTAAGAAGAAAGGTGAGGTGTGCAAGTAGAGAAAACATGGAAAGTGGCTGGTGAGAGGACTGGACACATGGGGATATCAAGATGAGTGTAAATGGCTGTGGGAGACATAATTGATGCTGCAGGCAGAGCTTATGTGTGAGCAGTAAAAAAGCAACCCTAAATGAGGGGAAAGAAACCATAATAAATACTTGGCCACCTTACTCTGCATTACTGCCAGCACAGTGCACCTAAAGCAGGAGGAGACCTCTGTTAGCATCCAGATCACAGGAGCACTGTATTGTTCCTGAATGATTTCAGCACATAAAGTCATTTCTAGGGTGCCAGGCAACATACTCACTTCCTTTGAAAGGCCAGGAAGAGTTACACCCCAAAAGAACACTCAGGTTTGTAACCAGGATGGTTTGTGGTAGAGCCTAACCTCATGTGTGCATGTTATCCTGGATAGATTTGCCATTATAGCATTTCTCAGGTTCCAGAATTACATGATCTTTACTAATACGCTCTTCACATTTTTGTTGTAGGTAAAGAAAGAAGTTGGGTGACCAGATCTATTTGTAATTCCTTTGTTCACTGGAAAGACAATCACACTTTAGTATCTGAATTGGAGGAAGTTCTAAGGTGAGACATTAGCTAAAGGCATATTACTAACAGTGTAATTCAAATCTATGATCTTTGCTCTAAATCACCTTACATTTCCACTTGCATTGATTTCATATTCACTAAAACACCTTTTTGTTCCCCTCCAGAAAAATAAAGTCACCAGAGATTGGTGGAAAGCACTCCAAGAGGTCCATTAATTCAGATGATTTAGAAGCCATACAAAAGCATCTACATGGTTTAAAAGGCTTTGAGGAAAAAATGAATCGAAGTGAATTAAAAAGCTTAAATCTATTCAGAAATTTGAAGAATGAAACATTACAGAAATTGTATGCATTTCTTGAACTGGGAATGAATCCACATCATGATTATAAATTAAAAGAACCATATAATAAGGAAATAATAGATGAAATCTATAACTTCACATCGCTGCAATTACAGAGTGACTTTAACGGGACTTCCATTTTCAATACAATGACCCGGTGGAAAAAAATTCAGAGGGCTTTAAAATTAGCTACAATGCTTTGGAATCAAGCTCTCCTAAATAATTCTAATTTTAGTACACTGCAAACTAAAGATGCTCTAAAAATGTTGCTCTCCACAAGCATGCCATCACTTCTGGAAGGTCTCAGAGACCGTTTGAGTGGACCCCAAGAAATCCCATCCATCTTTTCTGATGATCTGCTTGAGCCTGAGTCCTACAGAAACTTCCCAGAGCAGCTCCTAGCTCTCCAGAGGATGTTTTTTAGAATGACAGGCACAAATGTAGGTTATCAGTACCTCCTGCTGCCTGTGTTTGAGCTGATGAGGGCCGTAGAGAAGTCCATGGGTGAGGCCTGGTGGGATGAGTTGAACGTCTACTGGCGCACTGCGGAGAAGCTGAGATCCATGAAGTGGAATAACACAGCCATCGTTGCCTATGGGCAGTTTTTGGAGGTGTTAAACAGCCATTTGCAAAAGCTGAATAATAAATCAAGTGGTGTCTTCAGTGAAGAATTGGATCAGCTGTCAGAATTTATAACAGCTGTATTTAAAGAGTTTGGGGGAAGCTCTGGAGTAGCCGATATCTCACAAGTCACTCAAGCCATCCAAAAGACGTTGTACATATTAAAAGACTTACAGCTGAATTATAATGTCAGTACATTAAAATCTATAGATCTTTTCTTTAATTTTAACAATAAAACCTTGGAGAGCTTGTCTGAACTTCTGAGAACAGGAATGAAAATCCTTCATTATGCAAGTGCCAATGAAGCTTCCAGTGAAGACATAATTAACCCCATCTATAATTTAACACATCTACTACAGGAGTTCAGCCAGTCCCTCTCACAGCACAATAGCTCACTACAGGCAGGAATTTGGGAGTTTCTTCATTTAGCCTTGGGTCCTTTCCTTGAGAACAGCAGCAATGGCTACAGGACACTCCAGAATTGCTCCTTGGAAGATCTGCTCAGCGTGGGCCTTGAGGTGCTGTTTGAAAATGCCACTCTAAGGGAGTCCTCAGCCAGGAGCCCCTGCAAGCCCCTCTTGGATTCCTTGGGCTTGGAGGGTGGGACAGGGAACAATGACACCTTTACCAGGGTGTTCCAGCTGGCCATAACCAACCTGCAGCTGTCTCCAGAGTTTGCTGCTGCCTACAACAACAGCAGGGAGCGCTTTTTCCAGGAGCTGTCGTGTCTCACCCGGTCTCTGTGTTTTTCTCTGAGTTTCCTTTCCAAGTTAAACCTTGTCTCTGAGGCGGGAAACTCATGGCTCCAGGAGAAGGCAAGAGCTCTGAGTGCAGCCACGGAGGGGCTGGTGCAGGGTGATGCCTCGTGCCCCATCCCAGCCCAGGATGTGGGTGATGTGTCCCCATCGCAGCTTTTGAACGTGCTCCTTCCTGCCCTGCTGGATGAAACAGTGCTGAGCTCCCTGAATTCCTCTGAGAGCTCTGCAGACTGGGATGGGCTGCCTGTGTTCTCCCATCTGTCACCACCTGCTTCCATGAGGAACAGCAGTCTCTACGAGCTGCTGCAGGTGGGCAGAGCTGCTTCCAGCCAGCCCGACTGGGGACACTTCTCCCGGCTGTGGCGTGCCACTGGTGCCCTGCTGACCTCCAAATGGAGCCTAACAGAAGTGGGTGAATATGTGGAACTCCTGCAAATTATGAAGAAAGCTCTAATCCTTGTGGACTTTGGGGTAGCTCCTGGAAAAGCATTGGTGCGTCAGATCTTTGAGAATTCTACCGAAGCAATTAAATCTTCAGATCTGAGTGATTTGTATAGTTCATTAAAACTCTCTTTCATTTCAACTTCTGCCACAGACAGCACACTGGACTGGAAAAGGATATTTCAAGAAATACTTCCTTTGTATGAAGGGGGTGGTGAAGGATTGTTCTACTCTAATCCCTATGGAAAAGAAAATCAAGATGTTCTGACTATGGCTGCAGTGATTTGGAATGAGATAATTTTAAACAGGGCTCATTTTAATACAGAGAATGCATGGGAGGTGATCAAAATGATTGCACTCGACGCAATCTCGCTTGAAGACATTGAAAATTATCTCAGCACAAATGAAAAAGTGTCATCATTATTTTCTGACTTCTTGTTGACCCCTGGAACTCCTGAAAATTTTGCAGAACACCTTTTGTCCCTTGAGCAGCTTCTTGGTGCCATGGCAAAGGTGAACACCAGTGATCATTATCTGCTGATCTCTTCTTTGAGTAAGCTACTGCAGAAACTCCCTCCTGGAAGGCAGGAAGATGAACTTGGTGCTTTCTGGCACATTGCTGAAGGTCTCCAGTTGTTGAACTGGAATAGTACAGCCACTGTCACTGCCCAGTCACTTCTAGACATGCTGCAAAATCTACTAAATATGACAGAAAATGACACCAGTCTTCCTTTCAGTAAGGAACTGAAGCAGCTGCTAAACTTTGTATCTTCCATCTTTGAGCTGTATGATGAAGATTCCAGAGGAAACAACATCTCCATGTACTTGCAGGCCATGCAGAGGGGAATCTTAACTTTGAAAGGTTTGCAGAAAAGGTATAACATCAGTGAGCTTGAATCTATCAGCCTGTTACTTGATTCCAACAGTAACTATGCCCAGAGACTGATGGAAATGTGGAGAGGAGGAATGAAAGTTCTTCATGACATCAACTCAAACAAAACATTCGAGGAAAAAATGAACATTGTCTATAATTACTCACATTTGCTGCTTCAGGAGTTCAGCCAGTCTCCCTCAGAGCACAATAGCTCACTACAGGCAGGAATTTGGGAGTTTCTTCATTTAGCCTTGGGTCCTTTCCTTGAGAACAGCAGCAATGGCTACAGGACACTCCAGAATTGCTCCTTTGAAGATCTGCTCAGCGTGGGCCTTGAGGTGCTGTTTGAAAATGCCACTCTAAGGGAGTCCTCAGCCAGGAGCCCCTGCAAGCCCCTCTTGGATTCCTTGGGCATGGAGGGTGGGACAGGGAACAATGACACCTTCACCAGGGTGTTCCAGCTGGCCATAACCAACCTGCAGCTGTCTCCAGAGTTTGCTGCTGCCTACAACAACAGCAGGGAGCGCTTTTTCCAGGAGCTGTCGTGTCTCACCCGGTCTCTGTGTTTTTCTCTGAGTTTCCTTTCCAAGTTAAACCTTGTCTCTGAGGTGGGAAACTCGTGGCTCCAGGAGAAGGCAAGAGCTCTGAGTGCAGCCACGGAGGGGCTGGTGCAGGGTGATGCCTCGTGCCCCATCCCAGCCCAGGATGTGGGTGATGTGTCCCCATCGCAGCTTTTGAACGTGCTCCTTCCTGCCCTGCTGGATGAAACAGTGCTGAGCTCCCTGAATTTGTCTGGCAGTGCAACAGGCTGGAATAACCTGACCATGCTCTCTGGTGTGGCACAGGATGAGCTCCACAACCTCCTGCAGAGGCTCCAGGGTGCCTTCAACCTCACTGAAGGCAGTTATTACACAAGTGTCTGGGATGTGTTTGACAGCTTCCTCAGCACCAAAAGGAATCCAAGTGAAGGAGCTTCCCTTGCAAGGCTGTTGGAAGCAGTGGCAAGCAACTCTGCCAGCAATCTGTCAGCTCCAGAAATCACAGAAGCCACCCTCTACGTTCTCAAGGGGCTGAACATCTCTGGCCTGCTAAATGAATTCAATATAAGTTCCAGCTCAGCTTTTTTCTCCAACAAAACCAGTTTTGACAGTGTGATTGATATCGTTGCTCATCACTTCACTGTGGTGGCAGAAACCCTTTACAATAAGACCCTGCCTTGGACTCTGAGTGACCACACTCTGTCCCCAACCAGCTTGATCACACGGTGAGTTTGGGTTCTGGGTATTGTAATTCCATGGATGGGTTGTGACCACCATTCTCATTCCAGCATGAGAAGTATGGAATTTTCTTCCAGTGGAATAACCTAAGCCTGCAACCACTGTAATTTAGGACACAAGGAATAATGTGGGTTAAATTGAGGAAGAAGAAGAAACTTCTTCTTGAGCTGAATGTACAGCTCTAAGTCAGACTTACAAAAAAATTTGTGTGTTGGCACATAGCAGTGCACAGTGGAACAGACTCCTGAAGGAGTCTCACCACCTGGGGCAGGCTCTTTGGAAAACTTTCCTTTGTGGGATCACTCTCTAATTTTTGATCCTCAGTCTCCCTTAGGTGTGCATTTCCGTCTCTATAATGCATCCATCACACAGATTTGAACTTTTCAAGTGTGTTTTCTTATTTTGAGAGTGAATGACAGCTTTGGGAAATAACAGCAAAAAGAACTGATGGAATAAAAGTGGGAAGCTATGCACTTAGGAGAGATGGCTTTCATCTGGAATTCTTATTTACTCTGCCAAGGAACAGCATCCACAGCTGACAGGTTGCTCACTAATATATACCTTGTTTTTGAAAGAGAAGCTGATTTAAATTCCTATCTTATTTTTCAGATTTCTGTTTTTAGAATTTGCAAACACCATCTTGCAGGTGACAGCGAATAACAGCTATAACCCTTACCTGACGTGTTTAATAAATGCCGCGGAAGCTGAAGATGGGGAATTGACAGGTGATCATGATTTCATTAATTTCATTAGCTGGAATGTGTCCTGCCTGTGTTTTGTCTACTGGTGGGAAGGAATGGTGCTGCATGGTTTTATCTGCTGGCAGTGAACTGGAGCTGTGAGATCTGGGGAAACCAGACTCGGGTTTTGTTTGAGTTATATCACACTGTGATTATAAGTTTCCATCCCAGTGTCTCCAGAAGGCACATCTCCTCTTCTCAGTGTGATGACAGGTTGCTGACACTCAGACAAAGCAATTTTACAGATAGAAACCTCTTTCCCTTCACAGCTTTATGTAGCTGTAATATGACAGCAGTTATTCCTGAGAGCTAACATGATATTTCACATAGATACTCATCATTTGTGCTTACTGTAACACCTGAGAGGTTTTACCTGTGCACCTGTTACCAGGATGGGGTGGATTTCACTAGGAACAGAGCACTTACTTGAACTCAATCCATTATAACCCAGATTACAATTTAGGCCTTGCTCTGTGATTTCAGAGGTCTTCAGCCATGGGAATTTGGTGGAAAGTAGCAATGCCCAGTTGGCCTCAGAATAACAGTGGTGATATTCCCATCTGTGAAGTTTCTGGCATTTTTCTCTGGAGTAACTGTTGTTTTTTTTTTTTTTCTCCTGCACAGAAAACATCACACTGCTTTTGAATCAAACTCATCTTAAAAAGAACTCTTTTATGCAAAATAATACCTCTGAGAAACATTCATCCATACCAGAGCTCCTGAAGCTAAAAGTGAGTCTGCTTAAAATGCTGACTTGAAGGACATCCCACAGAGATACATGAATGTGCAATGGTGGTTTTGAAAAATAGCATATTAAGAAAACAGAAAAAAGTTTTCTTTAGAGAACAGCTGATAAAAACTAGGACTGAAACTCTGTGTTCTGCCTGCTGCCTATATTTGAAGGTCATCTGTAAACTGGGTTGAGGAACTTGTTCTTTTATTTCTCCCTTCTGAGTGTACAACCATTTTTCAGGGAAGGTAGAGATGTTCCTGTCCTCCCATGTGCTGGGTAGGATGGCTCTGTTTTCCACCAGCCACCCCAGAAGGATGAGCACTACAGAGATGGCCAGTGGCAGCATATTCCTCAGTGCACCACTAAAGTTCAGCATACTGAGAGTCCCTGAAGCACCTTGCAGATCTGAGATCATTCTAGGATGCCTCAGCTTCACTTGAGGAGGAGGCAGGGAGGAGCTCTCGAAGGCACAGATAGGGATTAGATACCTCTGCCCTGCTGAAAATCCATGTAATTGTGCACTCCTAATTGGCATTTAGAAGCATGACTAACTGGGTTACTGCTGTGCCTGAGGAGCTGTACCAACACCAGCGTGGCTGGAGTCAAGTCCCCACATACTTCTCTGGCCCCAGAAGTCTCACAGCACCAGAATGGCTTCTGAGATTAAGCACCAGTATTGATTCATTGAGTTCCCTCACCAGCTTTGGGTTTGGCAATGCCTCATTTGAATAAAATGCTTCTTAGCCCATGCATTCATGACTGCACTAATAGCATGCATGCACTTCAGTGTATTGCTCCCTATGAGAAATAGCATTTAAAAGTCCTTTTTTAAAATTACAGCAGTATGCAGTGTTGTTGCTGTGTAATATATCTGTAACAATAATATGATGAGCCTCAGTGTGACAGGTACTTAAAGGCATAAACCTGAAGATAATTCTTCCCATAAGAGCCTGATAATGTAAATAATGATGTCAGACAAGAGGGAAGCCCATAATAGCAAAGGACTATAATTTTACATGGGTTGGCAGATGAGGAAGCTCTGACTGCTGGCCAAGTCTCCTTCCTGTACTGCAGTAGATGACCAGGTGGTATCTGAAAGGCTAAACCTGTTGTGCAAGGTAGATTTATTTGGTCTCTGAGAAGATTAATTAGTAAACAGGCAAGTTTAATGTAGTATTGCTGTCTAAGTGTGTTGGGCAGGGGAAATGACATTTTAAGGTTTGCAAGGTTTATTAGATCCAGCCAGGTCTGCCAGAAGCTCACACAGTGATTGTCACAAGCTGTTCTATTGGAGACCTTTTGAATGAACTAAATATATATATATATTTTAAAATCTTAGAGGAGAGGCAGGAAGGGACAGCTAGACTCTTTAAAGTTTGCCTTTTATAATTCTGTCATCTAACTGATGTTTGTGCATTTGTCTTCCTTTTTTCAAAATGTCCTTTGAAGATCTCTCGCCTCCGGGATCTGACAGCACTTCTGTGTGACTACGAGAGCTTGAAGTCAGTCCAGCAGCTCTGCCACCTCCCTGAGGTTCCCTCTGGGGAGCTGTGTGAGCAGGGCCAGTCTCAGGAGCAGCTCCTCCGTGCTGCTCAGCTGAGCAGCCAACTTGTGACCAACCTACTGAGTCACAGGAGGATCTCCCAGGAGCTCCAAAATGTACTCATTGGGGATGCCACAGACATCCAGGCACAGCTGAAGTGGTGAGGCTCTCCCTCTGAGCTAGACTGTTTTAGTATTCTGTTTATGAAATGACTTCTTGCCTTCTCTTTATATTCTCAGTTTTGTTTGTTGTTTTGTTTTTCCAATTCAGGCTTCAAGAAAATGTACCAGAAATTGCTTTCTTTCAAGAGATTCCTCAATATATGGCTGCTTTGAATTCCATGTTGAATATCACTGAGGGTTTAACAGACTCCAGCAAGCAAGGTACACTTCTGTATTTTCTTTACAATGTTGGTAAACATCACCACTGGTACCACACTTTCTGCTGGAAATCCCAAGAATTTCCTAGCTGCCAGGAAGAAGTGGTATTAATGAAATAACCATACACCATGACCTTGGGGTCCTTTATCTGGGGTACTTGTAGAGCCTGTTCAAGACCACACCTGGTTTTGTTTTTTACAAAGAAAGCACCAAATCTTTCCATCTGAGCAAATTTTGCTATCCTGAGATGTGATAACTTCAGCCCACAGACCAGACTGTAAAACATAGGAAGTAATGACTGTATGCCCCAAATATTTTATTTTTTCTTATCAGCAGTGAGGTACCACACTTCCATGCTTTGCATAAAGTCTTCTCCATGTGCTTGAGATTTGCTGTGTGTCTGGAGAAAGCTGTTACATCAATTGTTCTTTGACTGTTCATTCCAGAAAAGTTAAGAGATGTTTTTAAAAATGTGGACCAGCTCAAAGAGGACCTCATAAACACAACAGGAATGTCCACAGCCAGCATTGATGCTCTTCTGGAAGCATCTTTCCCAGAAAACAGCAGTCAGGTAAGTTTGCTGTTATCCTTTTGGGAAATCTTGTTGCTGTCTACTGCTCAGATCATTAAAACTATAATTTGTTAGTGAATGCAGCTAAGCAGGTTGCTGGGTGTGTGACAGCACAGATGACCCCACAGGCATAGACAGCAGAGCACGTTATGGGTTGGAAAAGCCACCAGGAATGCAGTAGGAGCATAGGCAGTCCTGCCATTGGAGACTGGGAGCCATATGGTCCCTTTGGCTGTCACCAGGAGCCGGTCCAGCAGCCAGGCACTGCCTGGAGAGGGATGGCTCTGATCCAGAGCAGAGCACAGATCTCTGGGACACACTAATGGGGGCTGAGCAGGGTCTTCAGTCAGGTCCTGGTCACTGAGAAGTTGTCCCAGTCCAGGTGGAAAAGTACATTTGTAATCACAGTGTGTGAGAGCACTCAGGGTCCAAAAATACCCTCCCAGGATGAGAGATGAGCTTCCTTTCCTCAGCCTCCTGCTCCTGCAAGCAGAGCTCCAGATGCTTTTCCCCTTCCCAGCCATCTTGTCTGGACTGGGCCCCAAAGAATGTGCTCTTTTCCAAACTTCACATTCATCAGTCAATGAGAAATTGAAGCCACAAAAGCTTTTACAACTGTGCAAGCTGGGTAGTAAAACACAGTCCTTAGGATTTGTCCCTGGGAGCAGGAGTAATGGGAAGGCATTTTCTGGTTCTTGGGTGCTTGAAATATGGCCCTGTGGAAAGAACAACAGCCAGGCAAGATTAATCCACGTGTGGTGGAGCGTGCAGTGCACCCCTAACAATTCTCTTTTCCCTTTGTGTGCACCCAGCTCATCTCTCAGGTGCTGCAGCTGGAGTCCTGCAGTGCCCATCCTGCTGACCCACAGCTGCAAGTGGTGGTGCAGGAGTTGTGCAGCCTCCCTCTGCCAGAGAGGACTCGCAGCACCTACCTCCTTGGGGTCACCCTCTTGAGACACTTGGACATGTACAATTTCTTATACAAGGTTAGTGCTGGATTTTTAGAGTGGTTCCTGCAGTCTTTGCTGCACGAGGTGGTGGCTGAAAGGTTATAAAATATCATTGCAGTGGCCAGAAGCTACACTGATTTGCACAAGCCAAAGATCACGCTTTGCTCATGCAGCAATTTTTATTGCATATCCATGCTGTGACAGCGTGGATATAAATGAGAATCCCAGCTGGTGTAAAGCAGCAAACCTCATTTAAAGGCACTGGACCTACTCTAAATGCCTCCCTATCTGCTAGTATCCTTTATGTTCTGTCACAACCTCTTGAACACTCCCAGCTGACCCAAAAATAAGGTACTGAGCTAAATTTTTTGATTCCCTGAAAAGGGAAACCCTGGAAAAAGTCCTGTAAAATATCTTTTCTCTGTCTATTTGGAACTACAAAGTTACTAAATTATTCCAATTCCCACCCCCACCCCCCAACTACAGAAACAGCATCTAAGAAAATATTCACAGAGAAGTGAATAGTGAGCATGTATTTAAAAATACAGGAGTGATCCTGGGCAAAAAAAAAGTTGTTAAATAACAATGCCAATGAATTTGCGCTCAGGTCAAAAGTCACTCATAGTGTTTGACACCTGTGCTGTGTGAAATGAGAGATTTTATCACATCCCAGCCAGTACCTGACACTTATTTCCCAATTGTAGGTGTTTGGAAACACACTGTTAGATTATGTAATGTTCAGGGAAATGGTTTGCAAAAGTGCTTGGGGATTTAGGAATACAAATCCCATTCATTTCCCATGGGGCACCCACTCTGCAAAGCCTCCTAACAGCTTTGAAAATCCCACAGTGCTCATGTTTGAGTTAACACAATATGGGCGTGTGCATGCCTGTGCACACAGATCCCTGCTCATCATAATTGATTTCCTTCCTGCCTCTTGCAGATGTTTTTCCCCAAGGAACTTCAGAAACCCATGGACAAGATGTTAGGCCTTCTGACAAAAATGAAATATTTCAGACACCAGGTTGAATCTGGCATTGATCCATTGCTACAAGCTATTCATTCCCTGAAGAAGCTCCGACAGTCCAGGAAAACGCCACTGACTAAGGTATGTGTAGTCTGCATCTGCTTTTGAGGCAAAATAACCACTGAAATTGTTTCCACAGTAATTTCTTACCCTAGAAGCCACAGGTGCATTAAACCATAGATTCTGTTTCAGAGCAACAATGTTCTGAGAAAAAGCTCTCTCAGACTTATCTCTGGAAGTGCTCAAGGCCAGACTGAATGGGTGTCCCTTCTGGAAGGTGTCCCTGCCCATGGCAGGAGGTTGGAACAAGATGAGCTTTATGGTCCCTTCCAACCCAAACCACTCTGTGATTCTGTGTTGCCTTCATGGGATAGTTTTGATTTGGAGCAGTGGGACCATCATGTGCTCATGAGTGGGGAATGCATATTGTGAGAGAAACACTTGGAGCAAGAATGTCTTGAAGGAGGGAGAACTTCCAGCAAAATACTGGAAGGATCAGCTGGTGCAAACAGCTGGAGAACTGCCCACTGAAGGCAAACCCACCAAAATCAGCAGCAAAAAACTGCCTCAGCTTTAGTGTGCATTAGATCACACCCAAAGCCTCGAGACTGCCCAAAACATTCAGTACAAAGCCATTACTGCTCTGACAGCTGCAGTAACTCCAGGGTGCACTGCCTCCATCCAGCATGGTGTCCAATCCATCTCTGATCCATAGTCCAGGAGAACACAAGTGACAGGAATCCTTCCTGGTCATCATTTTGCCTGCACATTGCAGAGCCACGTGCAGCCACGGACTAGATGGGGACAGTGATGTGCACATCCACGTGACAAATCTGTGTTGTAACCCAGGTGTGTGAATGACACCAGGCACACATGATAGGGAATTTCTCTGCACGTGTTGTAGGCACTTCCTACATTAACTGTCATACCTGGAAATAAATGTACCACCTCTGTCATAATCAAAAAAATGCCTAATTTCCATGGAAAATTCCTATTTTTATAAAGGCAAGCTTCTCATAAGAAAGCAGTATAAAAATGTTCAGTCCTTTCCTTTTCATTCTATTGTTTCTCTCCAAGTGGAGTGCTTTCTTCGTGCAGGATTTATTTGTGTTTTGTCTTTTCTGCAGGCGTTATTTAAACCAAACAACTTCAGGATAACACATGGCACTTTTAAATCCATGTCAAAAGTCCTCTGCAACCAGGAGATCACACCCCTGTTTTTTGAGTCTTTGCTTCCAGATTTTGGGGACCCCATAAGCAACAGTTCTCATGCAGAGGACGTCTATGTCCAAAAGCTGATGAGGAAATATGGGATTCCTCAGGATTCCAGTAAGTCTGGCTTTTCCCTAGGGCACAAATGTTTCAGAGTTGAATTCTGCCATTTCCAGACAGATCTAGTGCTGAGCTATTCTCCATATGTCTCTGAGGGCTGTAAGTGCTCATTATTTATGGTAGCTGAAGATCTGTACTGCCCTAATTATTGATGGTTTATTTCCATAAATGTTCAAAGGGAAAACTGCCTGTGCAGCAGAGCAGTGCTTGACACTGCACTGTCTCCCATTTGTTGATGATCTGGTCCTAGGGCTCGACAGGTCACTGCTTTTTCTTGATGAGTAGTTTTTCTGACTGTACTGACATTATTAGCTCCTCTGAGTTCACAAAACTCCATTTAACCTCCAAGCAGATAATGCTGGCTCAAACAGCCAGACTCTTGTTGTCTTGAGTTCAGCAACAGGAGATCTTGGGGGTGGATTGCTTTTGTCAAGATGCATTAGATCAGTCAGTGAAGAGAGCCCTGAAGTCATTCACTGGCCACAGCAACAAACTGGGCAGACGGGAGAAAAAACCCACTGGTAGATTTCTTGTGTCTGGTCTGTTTGTTCTCTGTGCAATTTGTTTGCTCTTCTCCTCTTGCAGCCCCATTTTGCTTATCCTTTTACCTGGACCTGGTCAAGACCCCGACTGGAGCTTTGATTTGGTCTTTCTTAAAACCAATGGTGCTTGGGAAGATCCTTTTCACACCAGATACCCCAGAAACTCGAGCAATCATGGGAAAGGTATGGCTCTGTTCCAGGACATCAGGATACACCCACTCCAAAGGGCTGTAATTTATCTAGCACAGCCTTGTTTCCCTGGGAAGCTGCTTTCTCACTGTTTGGAGTATTAATCAAATTATCTTTTCCTACTTGCCTTGCTGGCTCTATGAGTCATCTTTTGTCTTTGATTGAATCTTCCCTCCAGAAGCTGCTGTTGGTCTAATATTTATAGGACAATATTTATAGGACAGTTGTTTAAGGCCTTCAGTTTATGAAGTTTCACCCCCATATTTTCAGCCAGTAGGAGAGATGTGTCTCCCAGGACTAATGGTGTAACCAGTGCTTGTTCACAGGAAGGCCAGTGGTAGAAGGAAAGCAGATACTCAAGACATGCTCTGAATATAATATTTTTAAATACTTGCATAAATTCAGTGTGTTAAGGGGCATTCTGCCAATCGATGAGAGGATGCTAGGAAAAATCCTAAGGAAAACAAATTTGGTCTCATGTGCTTTATTGATTTATTTATTGGTTAAAATCTGTAAGGTAATGAATCAATTAATCCTTATATGTTGTGGGCTTCTTTTGTAGTCAAATGCAACCCTGGAGCAGATGGCTGAGTTAGCCCTGAAGTCCCAGGAGTGGCTGGACCAGTCTCCTGTCATCATGAATTCACTGACTAAGTTAAACCAGACAGTTCCAATGATCAAGGTATGACTTCATACCTCCCCTCTGTCTCTTGCCAGGAGGGAACTGGGAGGATGGATTTGTTCACTGAAGTAAACTGGGGTTCCAGGGACACCTTAGGTCAGCTGGGGAGTCCCCTCTCAGGATGTCCTGGACTTCACAGTTTCTGTACCTGCCTGTTCCCTTAACAGAAATGCTTGTGACTGACCCTTCCCTGCAAGTTCTTTTTCTCAAATGAACTGTTTGTAATATTCTCCCTGACCCTGGCCGTGCTGGGGCCTGCTGGAGGGTTAAGATGAGCAGGGAACACTCTTCAGTTTGTAAATTAACTTTCTGCTTGATGGAGTGATCCAGCCAGCCAAGACCAGGCAAGAAATTACTTTCTCAGAAAATGAAACAGTGTCTATAATAAGCATGTAGTTCTGGGTATACACATAAGAGCTAGAAGATGTTTTGTATCTCAGTGAATGTAAATAAAATTTCTTTTTCCCCTTCCTAAGAAGCCTAGCATTGCTTGGATACAGAAGGCAGTAGACTGTAATGTTACACACACTTGTTTCCCATTCTCTGTAGGAAAAAATTGTCTCCTTTTCTTACAAAAATGAGATCCCTGGAACCCAAAAGCATTAGCAGTTAATTTTAGGGGCTGGAATTAATTCTAATTTCCATGGCACCAAGAGAAAAATCCAGAGTGGAATATGCAAAAGTGAAATTAAATATTCTCTGCTGATTGCAGTCATTGGTAGAATAATGAAATATTCAGCCAAACAAAAATCTGTGCTGATCTCCAAGTTTTGGTTGTGCACTGGCTGCGTTCACAGAACTTAAAACACACACAAGGGAAATTTACTTCTGGAATAACTAAAATTATCCATGATTTTTTTGATGGGACCCTAGTGCCTGGTGGAGACTCAGCAGGCATCTTTTCTTGACTCCAAGAAGCACTGACTTGGACTCAGAGAGCTCTCTGTGACATTCTCATTGCTGGAATTTCCCTGTTCTGATGCAGAGTGAAGAGGGAGGGGCTGTACACAGGCTCAGTGAAGGCTTCTGGTCAAACTGATGCTTTGTCTTTCTCTGCTTGTTGATAGAATGCCCTGCAGAACCCCTTTGTGCAGGTTTTTATCAAGCTGATGGTGGATTTGGATGCAGCTGAGCTCCTGAGTCAGATAAATGAACTGGGTAAGTGTGTCTGGATGTGCTGCCCTCTTCCTTACTTGTGCTTCAGGTCTGGGAGCTCCAGAGTTAGCCAGCTGCAGCCATCCCCTTAGTCTGCTCTTCTCTAGCCCATGTTGGAGGCTCCAGGGCAAGGCAATCCCAGCTGTGATCCAGAAATCTTCCAAGGAAAACTCTTAGAGAGCAAAGTGCTGGTGTGAAGAGATGTTTCTCCTGGGTGTTAAGGGGTGGAGGGATGGGAGGCTTTGCGGCGGTGTGTGGCCACTGGAGGACACTGTTTAGCTGTAATTATGACTTCAAATGAGCTACCTGGGACTCAGCTGGGAAATGTTGAGGGGAGCTCCCTTGCATCGCAGCGAGGTTCAGATGAAAAGTTCTCCAGAGCAGAAAAGCCAGGGATTAGATACATGGACCCAGGCTGATGGAGCCAGAGGCATCAGTGCAGGGGATGCTCTGCTGCAGTTTGCTGTTCTCTGGTGGGCTTGCAAGGCCCTTCAAGGTGACATTTGCTGCTGTGCACTGTGAGAATCACCAGTGACTGTGCTGGTGGGTACATTCCCTGTGAGTGCACAGCATGGGGATCACAGTCCCTTCCTGCCTGGCCTTGCTGTCCCTACCTGCTTTTGCAGTGAGTGGCCAGGCATGTCACCATAAATCTGGACTGTGCCAGCAAAGGCCAGCAGCAGCCAAGAGTGACTGTGGTCTGTTGCAGACATTTACATCCAGTTGTTGAAGATCTCTGTTGTTCATGAGCAACAGCTCCTGCCTTAACTCCCCATAAAGCCACGGTGCCTGCAGCAGCTGTTCCATATTAGTTACCTTGCATTATGCAGCCACCTTTGAAACCTGCCAGCAAACAGCAGCATCTTTATTAACTGCAGCATCAGGCTCAGTCCACACATCAGCACAGCACTCACAGCTCTGCCTTGATGTGCTTGGATAAAGCACATCCTCCCCCGAGACACAGCAGCTCAAAAGGCGAGTTGATTACATCCTCAACCAGAGGGTGGAAGGAATGGTGAGCACCAAAGCCTCAGCAGGTTAGTGGGGACTTCTGATTTGGGATGGCTGTCACATCCCATTGCTGGCATCCTCCCAAAGGCAAACTCACGAGCGTGTTACAAATGATTAACATAAAAAACTGGGTCAACAGCATGCCTTCATTGCATTGCTGAGTGCAGAGATGTATTTCACACTTCATATTTAGTGTGATGGGTTTGGTTTGTTTTCTTTCCTCCTTTCTGGTGTCATTGTTGGTGTGAAGGAGTGGAATGATGGGGTGGATTTTTTTCTGGGCGTAGCGATGCTGGAGGGTTTGTTTGTGGGGTTTTTTCCCTAGATGATATCCGGCTGGAGCTGCAGAACAACGCTGACATTGTCAACCAGCTGAACACTTTGGCTGCCCTGGCTGTGAACGTCTCCTCCTGCATCTCCTTCAACCGCATTCAGGCAGTGCAGGACCTGGATGAGATGGAAGCGGTGGCTAAGGAGCTCTTCCTGAAGAATGAGCTGTTTGCAAGTATGTGACAGTCCTGAATCCCCCTGGCAATTAAATTTGCCTGATAGAGTGTGGGAATGCAGCATAAAATATTTGGCTTTTCACCAGCAACTGTTGTGGTCCCAGCTCCCACCACACTGCAGTTGATTTGGAGCAAGTGTGTGTGGGACCTGCACATTGGGCCACAAGAAATGGTGCTATAATCAAGAAAGGTATCAGGGAATCATTCAGGTTGGAAAAGACCTTTAAGATCTTCAAGTTCAGATATAAGACAATTCAATTTATTAGAAGGTCATAAATCACTTGAGATATTCCAGCCAAGCACCATAATGGTGTACTGGGTCTTCTCAGTCACACTTTTCACATTTGTGAGATTGGAGTGTGGGTGGGATCAGACTGCAGAGAGGGGTGGAGGGAGCAGGAAATAGGAATTTACATTTGTGTCACTAATGTATCAATATTTAAAGAAGGCCCTCAGTTAGGATTTACTCATAAATCCTGTGACCTGTTTGGATTTATATGTCATAACTGAGGGGTAGATAGAAGCTTCTGCTTCCATTGGAACTTCAGACCCTGCTAATATTTGTCCTTTCCCATAGTAGCAGTTTTCTTCCCTGTTTTTCCTCCATTCTGTCATATGTTTTATATATGGAATACATATATATATATATATATATATATATATATATATATATATTCCATATATCAGGAAAAATGCTCTGGATAGAAAATTTCTGTGAAGAAGCCTCATGAAAATGAGGAGTTCCTGCATATCAGTGTGTGCTGCTCCTGTGCTGTCAGAAAAGCCTTTTTTCCAAAGGAAAGCCTTTTCCCTTTCTTTTCCCAGGTATCATTTTCAAGCTGCCTTCAAGCCCTGGACACTCAGTTCGTGGGGGCCTGTCCCTCCCTCCTGTGCTCAACTATACCATCCGAATGAGCAGCAGGATAACCCAAACCACCAACAGGATCCGGGAGCGCATCTGGACCGTGGGCCCGCACAATTCCACCTCCCAGAGCCAGATTTACAGCAGGGCCTTTATTTACATCCAGGACAGCATTGAAAGGGCCATTATTGAGCTGCAGACTGGCAAGAAACCAGAGGAAATAGCTGTTCAGGTGCAGGCAATGCCTTACCCCTGTTACAACAAGGATATGTAAGTTTGGGTGGCTGTTGCCTTCATGTTTTTTGTCAACTCATCTTGTGTGACTGGTGGAGTTCACCAGCTGTGCTGGTTTCCTTAGTACCATGTTCATGCAGCATAAACATAATTTAATTCTGTTCAGTTGGAGTTTTTTTCTCAAGGAGTTGAACAAAAGAGGGAATTTTTGGCTCTGAGATGGTCTGTTTGGTTTGCCTAATCTTTTGTTTTCAGTGCTCTTTTTATACCTGGATTGTGGTGGTAACTGTAGGTTTTACAGCAGATAAAACTCCCTGTGCCTGTTTTACTACACATGGTGGGGTTGGGATTTGTCAGAACTTGGGTTAAATACAAGTCTTGGCTTGTTCTGCAGGTGTTCACATGCACACAATACAGCAGAACTTAGAAAATGGATTTATTGGGGGGAAAAAGAGTGCCTGGGTTTATGAGCTTTACAGTGGCCAAACTGAGTGTAAAACACACAGGGAAGGGATTTCAGTGTTCATCAGGGAGCACTGGAGGATGTTCAGCAAGAAGTATTGATAGATGTGAGGGTCACTGTGCCCTGTCTGAGGGTCACCCTTGGAGCAAAAGGACAGGCTGGACCTAGGAGATTTTCCTACTGAAAAACCTCCATGCCAACTGCATGAGCCAAAATATTTTTTGGGAGCAATAAGGTACCATTTAGGAGCCACAGCAGACCCGTTAATCTCCTGTGGGAGCTGTCACTGAAGAGACCTGGGGACCTACAGCCTCTCCTCAGGGCAGCACCATGTGAGATGCCCACCAGGACACAGGCAGGAAGCATCCAAACCCAGTTCTGCAGCAAATTCCTGGGTTATTGCTGAGAGAGAGTTTTGTACAGTGATTAACTGGCTGCTGGAAGCACTGACTCCAGTGCTGTCTCCTCCTTTTTGTTCTTGGGCTGCTGGGAAAACCACTTGCCTTTGGGTTTCCCTCCCCATCCTGGGTTCAGAGGGATGTGTTTGCTCCATTATTAAAATACCTCAAGTCTTTAGATATGCATCCAGCAGAAGTCATCACAAAATTCCTACTTATTGATTATTATTTCACAGTTATCATCCTGTAGAGAAAAGGGAGGGAATATATATATATAGAGAGAGATATATATCTATATATATATATATAGATATATAAACCTGTACACAAAAGGTGTTGGGCTATGCTGAACTTTTAAGAGTCTTTCTTGGTTCTTTGTAAGTAAAGCTCCATTTGTGTGAAAGCATTTCCTGAAATGCTGGTTTATAGGACATTTTCAGCTTTACAGGTAAAAAAAAAAAAATTAAAAACAAATGTGATGTTCATTTCTCACTGTTATTGTACATTATTTCAGGAATAACACTGATTATGGGTTTTAAGTCAGGTCTAGAAATTAAGGAGGAAAGCATAAGCCCTGCAGATGCAATGAAGGGGATCTTCTACTATAAAAGTTTACTTTCCATGGCAAAAGGAGAAATTTATTGTTGGCCATTGGGTGTTTTCCTTCACACATTTGGCACTGGAAGAAGGTTTCAATTAAAATGAGGAGCCACAAAATGTGCCCTGGGTCTGCCTGTCCTGTGGGGTGATAGGACAGACAGTCTGTAGGAAAGCACCCATGTCCAGGCTCCAAGACCAGGAAATATGGCCTGATCATGAAATTTGGCCATTATATGTGTGAACAGAACTGGGAATTGTGGCTGGTTGCTGTGATGTTTCCAAATGGAATACAGTCCATCAGAGAGCCAGGAGATGCCACTGTGCTTCCTGCTCCTGCCAGTGGTGCTGCTGAGCAAGGAAATCCCTCTGCAACTTATAAAAATAAAAAGATTCTGAGCACTCAGGAGTTTGACGAATAGAAAATCCCATGCAATGGCAAAGGAGTCCTTTTTTCTTTTGTAATTATTAATTTTACTCCACATTTTGAAATATAAGCATGTCTTCTCCTGTGCCAGAGTATTGTTCTGAAAAATATATTCTTGTATAAAGCCTTAATCCCAAGAACATTTCATATTCAGCTAAAGCCTGCTTTTGCCTTTTACAGGTTCTTAACCAGCGTGACCTACTCTCTTCCATTTGCTCTGATGGCTGCCTGGGTGCTGTTTATAGCTGATTTTGTTAAAACACTTGTTCAGGAGAAAGATCTGAGGCTTTATGAGGTACGGGGAAACTTTCTGGGGTGTGCAGAATTATAAACAGATTTTCCTCATTTGTGGTTAGTGTGTCTGATGTTCAGTGTTAAATGAAGCAAAACAAGCATTAAGGAAAATATTCTAGATAGCTGTTGTTTGACCTGCAGTGTGTGAGTTCTGACATTATAATCAAGCTCAAAGCCATGGAAATGCAAGGTGTTTGCCCTTCAAGTGGAGGGAATTTTGCTTTGCAGTGCTGAACACAGGAAACATGGGCACCTCACAAAATTACAGGGTTTCTGAAGATTTAAAGCTCTCTAAAAATTGACTTTGAGTCATACCTACTGGGGACAAAGACATGAAAAGTGACTTATTTCCTACCCTTGAAGTTATTATACTTAATATTTCAGAAGGTGCTACATATTACATCAGCTCCTCTGAAATGAAGTTCTTCATTCAGGTTGCCTGTTGGAAGAGAAATGACATTGAGAATTTATTAAATTAATTCAGGCTTTCAGTGTGATCACTGTCAACAGAGATGAACAGCAAAAAATTTTGTCAAACTAAGCTTCAGCAAGCAACAAAAGCTTTGAGCAGATTTGTTTTTTATCCAACACCATGGAAACAAATACTGATTCACCAAAAACACTTCCAAGAAAGGACACTCTGACCTGTGATGAGGTGGAAAATGAATGAACCCCCAGTGTGTGCTCCCTGGCAGCCCCCTACTCTAATTTAGGCACCCACTTTCACTCTCTCCAAGGACCAGGGCATCACTAATCTCTTTGTGTAATAATCCACAAGAAGACACCAGCACCTCTAGTTTCTCCTGGATTTATCAATATGAATTTACAGTTTTATGCAAGTATGGGGAATTAATCATCAGCTAACATAAATTAATATTTCTTCCTTGTAACTACAGTAATTTAGCTTTTATTTGTTGTCTTGGGGTTGTGTGAGAAAAAGGTCTGGTTTCAAAGACATTTGAGAGCTTTTAAACTTAAGCCACTGTGTCAATTATCATTATTTAAAAAAAATTAAAAAATAACCAAAAGACTTCAGAAAACTTACAAGCCTAAGGCCAGAAGCTGCTTTGGAGCCTGTGGGCTGTGACACTTGATCCTTGCAGGTCCTGTTTGGGCTGTTCTTTTCCAACAGACAGCTTTTCAAACCTTGGCCATTCCTGAAATGGGAGTGCGTGGTTTGTCCCTGGATAGAACGAGCACAGTCTGGTTGCAGGCCCTGTCCAGAAGCTGGAAAAAGAAATCATTCAATATCAACAGAGAGATCTCTTAATTTCTCTCAAATGCCACTTGTGATTGTTATTTTTACCTTCCTCTCTGCAGTACATGAAGATGATGGGTGTCAATGCCAGCAGCCATTTCATCGCCTGGTTCATCGAGTGCGCCATCTTCCTCCTGATTACTGTCACCTTCCTCATTGTTGTGTTGAAAGTGGGTGAGATCCTTCCCAAAACAGACACAGCGCTCCTGTTCCTGTACCTGATGGACTACAGCCTGTCCATCATAGCAATGAGCTACTTCATCAGTGTTTTCTTCAACAACACCAACATCGCAGCCTTGGTGGGCAGCCTCGTGTACATCCTCACCTTCTTCCCCTTCATCGTGCTGCTCGTCATCGAGAATCACTTGAGCTTCTCTGTCAAGAGCCTCCTGGTTAGTTCTGCTTCTCCATATTTCCAGGCATGGTGTGCAGGCAGGGACCTCAGTGCACTCCAGCTCTTACTGTACCTCGTGTCCCAAACACAGGGGAGTTGGGAGCTGGGTGTCGTTTTGTGTTCCATCAGTGGGTGTTGACAGGCACGGTAGGAGAGTTGGCCATGGCCTGTTTGAGGGACACCTGGGATTAGCTGTGTCCCGTGACTGAAGGCACTACTTGTGGAATTTCAGTGAGTTCCCACCTGCCAGCTGAATCACAGTAGTTTGAGCTATGTCCTTTCTTCCCCTTTGGGATTGCAAAGGAAAATGGACTGCTTTCACCCACTCTGAAAAGCCAGGCTGTCTCAGTAAGAGGTTTGGGTAGCAGGGCTGGCTCTGCTCATTGCTGCCTCAGATAATTCTTTGGCTTCCTGTGTCTCAAATTCCTAGACATGGGAGTAGATGTAAAGCCTTGTTTCTTACCAAGGGGCAGACTAGGGTAGGTGTTAGGTTCTAGAAGCCAGACTTGTTTTCTTTGAGTCACCAAATTCAGGAAATGACATCTATTAATGCAAGTGGTAAAAGAATTAACCACATGGCTCCATAAGGTAATTCTCAAGCACTGCTGTATTTCACAAGCCTAAAATAAAGTCCTGTATGAGGGAGGAAGTTGCATCCTGGGTGTGGAAGCAAAAGAAATTCAAGCTCTAAGGAGACATTTCAGGCTGTCACCAGGTAGCACTTCCCATCACAGTCCAGTGCTCCTTGTGACTGCTGGGAAAAAAACAAACCCAACACTCATTTTTCTGGCTGTTGGAATAACCCACTGAGGTACTTGATTGGTTGACTGACCTGACTTCTCTTTGAGACTAATTCTAATGTTTCTTGTTTTCAATTTTGTTTATTCCCCAGAGTCTGTTGTCTCCAACTGCCTTCAGTTATGCAAGTCAATACATTGCTCGCTACGAGGCACAGGGCATAGGTGAGTTTATGGCAGACAAAGCCAGGCTTCAAGCTCTCCTGGGGGTGATATTTCACTGGCTGAGATGGGCTCTGATTGTATTTCTCAATTCTTCCCTGCAGGACTGCAGTGGGACAACATGTACAAGTCTCCAATGATTGGAGACAACACTTCCTTTGGCTGGATGTGCTGGCTCATTCTGATAGACTCCTTCATTTACTTCATCCTGGGGTGGTACATAAGGAATGTTTTTCCAGGTAGGGATGCAAAGCATTGAGGGTGGTGCTGTAGCATCTCTTTTGGAGAACAATGAGCAGAGCTGGCTGAGGCAGTGACACAGTGCACACCCTCTGTCCCAGACAAAAGGGAGCATGACTGTGGATGTCTGAGCCTATTAATGGCACTGAGAGAGAGCAGAGCAAGGGAGAATTAGGGTTTTTCAGCCTATCACATGGGTAGGTGGGTCTCCTGAAGAAGCTGAAGCCAAGGGCACAGGAGGGTGGGATTGCAGTCTGATGGGTGAGAGTGGAGCATGTTAGACTGCATTTGTCAGCTGAATGATTTTGAGCTGTGTCACTTACATCATTTGGTTTCAAAAAGTAATTCCTGCCTTGGGCAAGAGCCAGTACATTTGTCTTTTGCTTTTCTTCCCCACCTAATGAAGCAGTCCACTGGCATACAGAAATCTACCCAGTGGAAAATGTAAAGTTCTCCTGCCCTCCAGCCATGGAGTTACTCTGAATAACAAATTAGTGAGTGCTTCCTATTGTGCCAATCAGAAAAAACTCTCTACCAAGTCCTGGAAGTGCATGAACACATCAAGAAATCTCTGTGAAGTTAACTTTTGCTATTCTGGGTGCACCCCAACAGTGGCACTTGCTGAGGAGCAGATACCTGAACGAGACTCCTGTTCCTGCAGGTAGATATGGCATGGCTGCTCCCTGGTACTTCCCACTGCTTCCATCTTACTGGATCGAATACAACGGCTACCTGCCCTTCTGGAATGAGAAACAAAGAGGCATGCTCTTCTCCAAGCTGATGTTAAGGAAAGAAGCCACCCTCCCCAATAAAATATGTAAGTGGATACTAGATGGAGTAGCAATAATAACTTATATTTTGGGTAAACAAAGCCAAATTTGTGAAGGGGCACCATAGTCAGAAAACACCATTGATTGTTATTTTGAAGCACAGGAAAAATTGAAAGCTGGCATTCACATGAATGCAGATTTGGCCCTTAAATTTTATTTGTTCTTCCTATTTGCTGTGGAGAGTCAGTACTGATTTTCACACACATATTCATGTGTGTTGTAGTTGGACAGTCCATGCCTGTCTCTCTGTGTAGAAATACACTTTTGTTTTGACAAGCAAATACAGGTTTCCACTTGGCACATCATTGCTTATCTCTTTAAATATTTAGCCTGTAAAATTTTGAGATCCCACATAAAAGCTTGCTGGCTCCACCTAATTGGAAATAACTCTGTAGTTTTTTCTTCATGTCCTCTAATTTTCTGTGCTTGTTTAGTAGAAATAAAGTTAGGTGCTCTGAAACACCTAAATATGAGACCTTTTCAGAAGTGATTAATGCCTGTTGTCAGGAGTTATTAGAAGCTTCAGAAGTAAGAAGGAAAAATCCCAGAGAGCTCAAAATGATACAGATCCAGTGACATGTTCTCAATATTCCCAGCTGAAAGGCACCTGCCTTTGCTGTGTTTTGGTGTTCTCTGAGATGAGAAAAGCAGCACAACACCTGCTGCACTGCAGGAGCTGTCCCTGACCCTTCTCTTTGGTGTCAAAGGTGCCCCCCACCCTCACGTGGAACCGGAGCCCACTGACCTCACCTTGGGAGTCTCCCTCCACGGCATAACAAAGGTTTATGGATCCAAAGCTGCAGTGGACAACCTCAGCCTCAACTTTTATGAAGGGAATATCACTTCCCTGCTAGGACACAATGGAGCTGGGAAAACTACAACCATGTATGTATCCTTTAAAGCAGCTCTTTTTTATCCTGTGGGGTGTGGCTGGGTGAGCGAGGGGGCAAGTGGGGCTGTGCAGCAGCAGGAAACTGAGGGAAGTGCTTCATGAGACCAAATCCCTTGTGTAGTTTCATCTTGTTCATAAATGATTTCAGGAGTTCCTTCATCTGTTAGGGTTCTTTAGGTTCTAAAAGGTGCTTTTCTGCTTAGGAATATCCTTTTTAATCTGGTGAGATGCCTGGGACAGCACAGCAGCTGTTCAGGTGTTTTGTTCCATGGCCTGGGGTTAGGTTGTTCTGGAAGCTGTGGGGAGCTCCTGCACACACCAAAGCTGAAGTGATATTAGCAAGAAAACTTAATATACACTTCAGGTGTACAGAGTCATGTGTTGACTGGGCTGGAATGGCAGGGGATTAATGCACTGGCCTTTCAGCCTTGCTGTTTATAAATTATTATTTGACTTATTAGATAACAGCACTAAAACAGACCTGTAGAACTTGATTTCTCCACTGATATATATGTGCATATCTCTGAAAGCAACATTAAGCTGATAAATAGAAGCCTCAGAAGAGCCAAAACCAGTAAGACAGATGTGTGCTTCATCTCAGCTTATTATCAATTCACCTCATATTCTGTTTGCAAAGTGTAGCAAAGGTGATATGCAGAAAAGTATAAAACCTTCCTGAAATTTAGCACAGGCTCCAAATCCTGAGTAAGGTCACAAGTTACTGCTTTTTAATGATGTTAAAAGTCCCAGGAGAGAGAAAAAAACTGCAAAGGTGAAGGGCAGTCTGAGATGCATCTTCTCCCTTTAGTCCCTGCAGGACAGCACCAAAAATGAGCTGTAATGTGCAAGTAGTTATTCTGAGCAGAGGGAGTTTGACTCAGCTCTTGCTTGGTGGGTGATTATTTGCTTGAACCAGATGAAAGTGCTGCCCACTGTGAGGTGTCTCATCCAGAAGTCCTCTCCCATTTCTCGTGGATAATGGCAGTGAAATCAGGTTTCCATGCTCTGCTGTGGCTAGTCAGACAAAGAGGTGGTTTTCAGTCTCAGCTGTGGTTACAATATGAGGCTGGCTGGACACTCCAGGCAAACCTCAGAGAATAAAGAGTAACTGAATTATATGAATTCCCAGTAATTAAATTGGAAGTCAAGGGCATTCCTGAGTGTGTGGGACATGCAGTGGTCTGACCTAGGGAGGGGGAGGCTGAAGCAGTAGAGGTGAGGAGCAGCCAGGGTGAGCTTGGAGCTTGCCCTTGCAATCCCATGGGGGGGAACAAGGATGTCCACGGATGTTAATTGGACTCTGCTCTGCCACAGCATGGCTGGGCAGCAGGACACACAGAGGGCAGTGGTGTCTGGCTGGAAGGAGTGGGATACCAGGAAGCTTTGGAAGTGGTGACAGCTACAGGGCCACACCAAAAACATTACCCATGGCTTCCTCCTTTTTCTAACTTCCCCTTTGTATTTATTTCTCCTTCAGATCTATTTTGACCGGGTTGTTCCCTACGTCATCGGGCACGATCTTTGTGTACGGCAAAGACATCAGGACTGACCAGGAGGTGATCAGGAAGAACATGGGGGTGTGCATGCAGCACAACGTGCTCTTCAACTACCTCACCACCAAGGAGCACCTGCTGCTCTATGGCTACATAAAAGTCCCTCATTGCAGCAAACATGAGCTCTACCAAGAAGTGAAGAGGTATAAAAGTAGCAGGGTGGGAGCAGGGAGAGAGGGCTGCCAAAATTCTTGTGTGGTGGTGCCACTGCCCCTGCAAAGCTCAAAGTCGTGGGTTGGAGGTCTTGTTGCAGCTCCAGCTTAGGGAACAAATGGTGCCTGGCTCTGCCTAAAGCAGTATATTGATACCTATGCTGTAAGAATCTCTTCTCCAGGGGGTTTACAGGCTGCTGTTGCAATTATTTGGAGATGAATTTATAGGCCTAAGGGTCTACTCCTTGTTGCTTCACAGTTTTCCCTGGGAAGAGATTTAATCAACCAGTCAGAAAGATGATGTTGGCTTTATTGGTTCTGCGCAGAAACGAAGCAGCCAGAACATCCCAGGGAGTTTGGATCTTGGTGTCTTGGTTGATGGGGTTGAGCCTTTAACCTTGACTTGTCAGATGAAAACTTTGAAAACATCCTCAGAAACGTTTAAAATTAAAATCCCGATGGCTGAGCTGCAGGGTGACTCTACACTGTGACCACTCAGCAGAGCAGTCCATACTTGAGCAGGTTTTCATTTGCAGTTACAGTGTTTTTCCAAGTACTTTCAGATTCCCTGCTTGGAGAAGATGCCCGAAGGATGGCTTTTGGAGGTTGTTTTCCCTATGTTTTCCAGGACTTTGAAGGAGACTGGGCTGTACAGCCATCGACACAAGCTGGCTGGCACTCTCTCTGGGGGGATGAAGAGGAAATTATCCATAGCTATTGCTCTCCTGGGGGGATCCAGGGTGGTGATTCTGGATGAACCAACCACGGGGGTGGATCCCTGCTCCAGGAGGAGTATTTGGGAAATCATCTCCAAGAATAAGAAAGGTACTGTGATGAGAGGAGATGTCCCCCCCCAAGACAAAGGTGATTTGTCTTTACAAAGATGGTGCCAGTGGCTTTGAATTTTGGGTTTTGGAGGCCAGAGAGAAAAAAATTTTGGAAGACTTGGATTTTGCAGTTCTGGAGGGTGCATCCTGGTTGATTTCTGTAAATTCACAGTGTCATTTAAAAACTAACTTCACCATAGAACACAGCTTACAGTACTGTAAAATTCATCTCTCTTGTTGCCTTTCATCCAATTTCACTAATAATTACCAAAAAATGCAGTTGATTTTCACCTGATACTCTGTGTCCCCTCATTCAGCTAGGCTTTCACCTTTCTCACTGTTGAGATAAGGAGAGATCTGACCAGAATGTGATAGAAGAAAATGGTTATAAACATTCATTGCATTGGTTTAACAATGTGGACTTATTTGCCATGGATTGATCCCGAACAAGGGGGAGCTCTGGAACCCCTGCAATTATAGTGATGATATCATTGTGTAGAGAAATACAGAAATTTTTGAGAAAGGGAAGAAAACAACCCTAATCCTTTTAAAATCCAGTTTTGCCATAAAACCAGGCGTTCATTCAGTGGTGACTGTGTTTTCCAGGCAGAACCATCATTCTCTCCACACATCACCTGGATGAAGCAGAAGTTCTGAGTGACCGGATCGCCTTCCTGGAGCATGGAGGGCTCAGATGCTGTGGCTCACCTTTCTACCTCAAGGAAACCTTTGGGGATGGCTACCACCTGACACTCACCAAAAAGAAGGTCTGTGTCTGAGCTGGTCCTAGAGCTCCTGGCTGCTCTGTCTCCAAAGGGCATCAGGGCTGGCTGAGGGTATTGTATTGGGAGGAGATAAGTGATCTCTATGGCCTTGGGAAAACAGAATGTCAGTGCTCTGCTTTGTTGAAAAAGAACAGGGTCTCCTTGAAGGTTAAAGGCAAGGCTGGGTGCAGAATGTGAAGCTCTGGAGTTCAGGGGAATAAAGCAGATGGCAAGAGCCCATCCAAAGTGTCTGGCCTGGCACAAAGTGTTCTGCTTGCAGGGAGTGGAGAACTCATGCTCTTGCTAGCATTTATTCCAGTGCTGTTGGTAACCCCAGCACACAGATACCGTGAGAGACCATCCTCTCTTCCAGCCTGCTGGCACTGGAGACAGAGAAAATGAAAAAAGACTCATGAACAAGCCCCGTTTTTCATGGGAAAAAGAATGAGTTTGTGCTGGCAGCCATGTTAAGTTCTCTGGTGGCCAGGCTTTTTCTCTGCTGTTACAAAACCTCTAGCAGTGCAAAGTGGTTGATTTGGCCCAGCCTGGTGAGGTTTTGGATGGACCAAGATCAGAAGAGTGTCACATTCTCTTTTTCAAGGGCCAGAAACCCACTTTCATCTGCTTTTGATATTTACCCTGACATGTTGGCTAGCTGGACTGAGATCACTTACCAGTTATGCTCTGGGACAGGATTTGGGCTACATCTTACAGGAGGCAGGTTGACCTTGCAACCTCTTCAGTGACCACAGAGTGTTTTCCTCCTTTTTTCAGAACATGATAGAGGAATGTGACACCACAGCAGTGACCTCCTTGATCCAGTCCTATCTCCCAGAGGCTTATCTCAAGGAGGATATTGGTGGAGAGCTCGTGTACGTGCTTCCCCCCTTCAAGTCCACAGTATCAGGGGCCTACCAGGCCCTTCTCAGAGCCCTGGACACCAGCTTGAATGATCTCCACCTGGGTTGCTACGGTATTTCCAACACAACTGTGGAAGAGGTACGAGCTCAGGAGCTGCTGGATCTGCTGACATGTCGTGGAGATTAATTTCACAGCACTGTGTGGCTCTGCTCTCTAATGTTAGGAATTACTTGAGGGTTTCAGCAGGGAGGAAGGGGTTACACTTAGGTGTACATGAGTGTGTAGATGCATCTATAAATTTATACATACACTAATGCACTGTCTCACCTTGTTGACAGCTTTTTGATGTTTTACTCAGAAAATGGAGTTAGACTAAGGAGAGTAACACAGGCACCTTTCTGCCCATGGGAAATCTCTGGTTAAATAAACACATTTAATTGCATCAGAAATAAAAAGTAAATGATGAGCAGTGATGACCCTTGTCTTACAGAAGGGAGGGAGGGAGGGAGGGAGATTGTTACCCCCCTGCTCAGAATTTCTGGCTTTCTTTTAAGGTGTTTTCCTAAGGCAGCAAGAATAAGTTGCACATCATGTCCCATGTGCAGCTCAGGTGCCATGACTGCACACTCACAGCACGAAGGCAGTGGGATTGTCAGGAGTCAGAGGGTAAATATGGCAGGGAAACAGGTTTGAGTTTCCACTGCTGCAGCAGAACAGAGACAGGAGGTGACAAGGAGCTGGACAATAATTTTATATGGAAGAGAAAGTTAATTTCTCTCACGGAGCACAAAGGGGATAGAAAGAGGATTCCAGTACATAAATGCTGCACCAACTACAGCTACAAAGCAGGAGAGTGGATTCTGGTAATTGTTTTGGTAAATGGAGTCATTTAGACAAATTTTCCTTCATATTTTCTTGCTCCCTAGGTGTTCCTCAATCTGACAAAAGAGCTAGTGAAGGACCAGCAAGAAGATGCTGCACTGCCCCATCAGCTGCCTGGAGTCAGTGGTCACATGGGTGGTGATGAAATGTCTCTGAGCACAGACACCTTCACAGAAAGAGACGGTACTCAATCACCTACAGGGTTTATTCCAGATTTACTGCAGATGCAAACGCTGACAGATAGACTGATTTGAGCTCCCTGTCTTCTTTCTTTGTTGAAAACCACATTTCACCCAGCCAGGAATCACAAACCCTATAAATTACTGGAAAAAACAGCAGTCATCAGTCCTTTAGATCCCCTATTTTGGAACAGTCTGGATCACAGGATAAATTACTAAAGGGTTGTGGTTTTTTTTTGCATCTGCCTTCCTTTAAATTGATCCAGGTCTTAATCTAATCAAATACAGCATGAGGGTGAAAGAGTAAATGTGTACCTGTGAAAGTAATTGCCATCATAGATGTAGAGGACTATTTCCCCATAACTAGTAGAATTGGAAAGAAACTTTGTGGATATCTTAGTCTGTTTGAAAAGCAGCACAACTCTGAGCTGCATCCTCCTTGCTGCTTTTTGCTGTGCCCCAGACACTGCAGTTTGGTAAAGGAGCCCAAGGGAGCAGACAGTGGGGTAAATTCAGAAGAGAACCAAGCTACACCACTATCCCTGAGGGTCTGAGACCTCCTAAAGGTGGCCCAAAAATGAGACATACCTGGCTGCAATGTTTTCTTGGCTTAGAAACATTGTTTTGTACTTACAAATATACCATTTATAGTTAGGGAGGCATCCAAGGGACAACACAGAGGTATTTTTGTACTTTTCAAAGCTGACCTGCACTGTAAATGTTACTGTAAACAGTCACTCGTAGAAAAGTGTTTTGTTCCACCCTTAAAAAAGGCTGAAAAGGATTTGCTTCATGGTGTATTTTATAGGTTAATATTTCATAAAGAAGAATAGCTGGCACAGGATTTGGCTCAGCTTTTAGTATACCACAAAACCTGTCCATGCAAGAGGCCCAGTGGCTTGTGCTTGTGTTCTTATTTCAGGATTAATTTTGTTGTTTATTTTTCTGAGGACCTGCTTTTTAAATTATGAAAAATTTCAGCTCGCAATTCTAAAAGAAAAACACATTTCCTCTGTAAGTTGCAGCTGGATAGGTGGGATGTAGATAACTTATTTAATCTGGAAGCCTGTGTTCCTCTTGCAAGGTCTCACAATGAAAGTCACTACATGTGCACATTTGAAACTTAACAAAAGAAACTGGTGTTACATGAGCTGATGCCTGGAGCCCTGTCCCACGCCTGATCCTTGGATTTGCCATCTGTAAATGTGTGCAGGAAGTGAAACACCCTCCCAGAGTGCTCTAACCATCACTTCCCTGCACTGCACAAGTGCTCAGCCATGACCAAATGCCGACCTTTGTGTCCAGACCAGCTCCTGATCAGGTCCAAGAGCCTGCGGGGTTTGCCGCTGCTGCTGAAGAGAACCTCAGCCCTGTTCATCAAGAGGTTCCACCACACCCGGCGCGACGTGCGCGGCTTCATCGCCCAGGTCATCCTCCCCGTGCTCTTCGTGATGGCTGCCATGGGCCTGGGGACACTGAGGACCAAGGAGACCGAGTACCCCGAGCTGCTGCTCTCCCCCTCCCTCTACGGCACGGCCGACCAGGCAGATTTCTTCGGGTGAGTGCTGCTCACCCCGACTCCCCTTGGGTCAGAATGAGCCCTTCAGGGTTATTTCTGAGCACAGCCAGTGTCCTACACATTGGACATGTAGTTATGTTGTGCAGACAACACAGAGATACCCTGTTCCCAAGGGATCTCTGAGGAGATGGCTTGGCTCACACCAGAAAGCTTCAGAAAAAACAACCTTTTGGTTGGATTTAACTATGAATTGTCTGAGGAATGTTCTTGGTGTTTCCCATTGGAGTCCTTCAGCCCCATAACAGCCATAGGGATTTTTCTTAATATATACATTTCTTAATATATATACATAATGCTGTTCCCCCAATATGAAATGAGGTAGCCACATCAGCTGCCTCCAACATTACAATTCTAGGACCAAATTCTATCCATCTTGTGAGCATTGCCCTCCTCTCTGTTAGCACAGGATGTGCTTTCCTGGACAGGCCCTGCTGGTTCAAGGTACACAGGCAATTGGAAGAGCATGTGCTTTTCCAGGGTCATTAGGATGTCACCACTGCATTATTTCATTCTCCTTAAAAATCCACATGTTACCAAAAGAACTACAACTGATATAATTCTGTTTTCATGTTGTGAACAACTTTCTTTCTCTAGTAATTCTCAGCTCTAAGTCAGAAATAGAAAATTTAGCTCTAAAGCCATCTGCTCTAGGTGTTCTTCCCAGGATACCTCACACCTTTCCACTTCACTCCTGCTAGATGGGGTATGAGCCAGAGCTGCATGTCCAAGTCCTCTGTTCCTAACATTCCCTGCTTCTCCTGGTGGATCATTGCTGGACCAAGGACAATCTTCTTGAATGGTCAAAACTAAGCAGGTGTCACAGATGAGAGACCTGACTGAGACAGGGCTGCAAGCAGTGCCTGAAAATTGGAAAGTGCCTGAAAAATTCTTTTTCCCCATAAAGAGAATCTTGATTGTCCAAAAGTATCTTGCTTGGATCTAGAGGCAGCAAATCCCTGGAGTAGCTGAGGTGATGAGGGCTCCTTTTAAACCTGTGTGACTGTCCTCATATACTGCGTGTCCTTCAGTGCTGCTTCCACAAATACTCAGTTATTCAACGTCTTAAATCCTGTTTCATTCAAACACAGTTTTCCTCTGCACAGTGGTAGTGGAAGTTCTTTGAACCTTTTCCTGTTTTCTGTTTTTCTTCATTAATTCTTAGGAATTTTAATGAAACCACAGCTGCTTTAGTTTCTTCGATGCTGGCTTTCCCTGGGACGGATAACACGTGCATGAACGAAAGCAATTCGTAAGTAGTTCTTGGGTTTTTTTCCACTTAAACTCCAAACCTGCAAGAGAATTGGCATGACACTGTTAGCCATTAGACCTTAATAACCATCTTTGATCATCAGCAAAAATTCTCAAGCATTGGACTCCTGCATTATTGGGAGTGATAAGGAAGCAGCTTTGTTGGTGGCAGGATGCCAGGATGAAAACGAGCAATTCTCCTCTCTGGGAAGTGATCCTTGCCGCCCCAATAATTCCAATTATAACGTGAGCACACACAGCAAGTTCTCAGCACAGTGTTTGTTACCTCTGTCTAGAAGCTGTGCCACGAGGGCTGGTTTGTTTTGGGCTTTCCAGATAAATTCTCAGGGTGGTGAAATCCTGGGTGGACTTGAATGCTCGTGCAGGCAAATATTTACCCTGGGTGTTTGCAGTGACTGTCCAGGGTAAATCACAGGGGTGCCCAGGGATTGCCACAGCAACAGCCCTTATTTCTGGCTTTGTTTCAGATGCTTTTGGCCTCTGAATGCCAATTCCTTGCCCTGTCCACTGCAGCAATGAAGTGGTGCCTGGATTCCATCTGATAGCTGAGCAAATCCAGGCACAGGGAACAGCAGGGAGGGCTCTCTGCCAAGGGGCACAGGAGGCAGCAGGGCACTGGGGATTCCCTGAACCACCCAGAGCTGACAAGAAGCTCTGCTTTTTTGCTGGAGCTGCTCAACTGCCAGCCTTGCTGTCATTAAACATGACAGCAATTAGCTTCGTTTGCACACCTGAGCATGGAGAGCCTCAGAGGAAAATGTGTTCCTTTTCAGGCAGTGTTTAACAGAGGACATGCTTGGCCAGTGGATTACCAGTGGAAACCAGAGAACTAAGTATTCTGCCTGCAACTGCACAGATGGCATCCAGGTAACTTGGATAAACCCAAAAGTGAGGGGGCTTGGGGGATCACTGGGGGCCTTGTTTGCTGGGAGTGGCTGGCATGATGCTGAGGCAGACTCAGCATTCCGAGTCCTCCTGTCTCTCTTTGGCCTTGTTGAATTTGTACACTGGATAACCACTGTCCAGTTTGGGGACAGGAAAGGAAACAGCATCCTCAGAAGATTCACACTCTAACATCCCTGCCTTGCTCCCCATGGTGGGAAAAGGTTTAATGGTGTTTTTGAGTGTTGTATTATTGTCCCTGTTGACAGAGGTGAGCATGTGTTTAAGAGGAAGATTTCATCTTATGCAAGCACTGTCACGATATAAAATCACAGCTACTTTTGCTGCTTGCTCTTCAGAATTTAACTTTATGCAAAGTCTAGATCTGCTCCTTGTTCTAAATATTAATGATTAATAATATTAATTGTTTGCATTACAGTGGTACCCACAGAGCCAGATATGGATGCTTCTGAGGTTTGCATGCACATGGGGAAAATGCAGATTTCACCCCAAGGGTGTTACAATTTTACAGTTCAGTTTGGGGCTGAGCTCTCCTCCCTCCAGTGCTGTTCACCTGTCCTCAGCTTTTTTCCATAGCAAATAATCTCATGGCACAATGTGATGCCTTTTAACATAAAGGATGTACTTAGTTGAACGTTTCTAGTCATTCTTTAAAATGCAGCTATTCTGTATAGGTTTCTGGACATACACTTAATTTCACATCATTAAAAGTGTTGGCATAATTTCTCCAGCAAGTTGGGATAATGTTCAAAGCTGATTCTCACCTCCAGCAGACACAGGCAGGTGTTCCTCAGCATGGAGGAAGCTATTTTGTGTATTCAGATGAGCAGATGCACAATGGGGGAGTCCAGGGCTTTTGTTATGGATGAGCTGAAGGAAGCAGCCAACATGCTGTCTGGGAGGACACTTCAACCTCATGAAACACCGATGTGACTTTGGCCCTCAGCATGTTAAATTATATATTCAGGACTAATTCAAGGTTTCTCTGAAGCTCAGGAAAGCATTTCCAGTGACTGACAGTAAAGCAGAAATGTAGAGTGTAGCTGCTGTGAAATGGAAGATGAGAGTTTGAGGCCACCACAGAGTTTTCTGCTCTGTGAGTTGTTTTGCCCTCTGCAGTTGTCTGTGCAGTCACTCTGCTAAGTAGGATCAGCCTAAACTCAGCCAAAATCTTCCTACATAGCATGAAGCACATTTCAAGGTCCCACTGATGCCAGTAGAACTGAAGGGTAGATTTAAGCAGAGGTTGTTTTAAAGCACATCCCTGAATGTGTTGGGGCCAGTGTGCAGGGATGTGTGCTGTGTGTCCGTGCAGCCTGGCTTGGGAAGGAGCAGCCTCTGCAGGAATGAGGCTCAGAATGCTGCTATGGCAGGCTCTCAATCTTGTCCCAATGTGGTGGTTTTTAGTTAAAACACAAACACTAAAGTTTTTCTTTGCTTGTCTCCCCTCAGACATGTCCACAGACCAATTACACTCCTCCTCACAGAAGGACCTTCTCCACACGGACACTTTACAACCTGACAGGGCACAATGTGGAGACCTACATCCTGGCAACCACCAAGGACTTCCTGCAGAAACGGTACAGCCCAGACTGCCCTCCCTCTCTGCTGAGTGGGGCTGGGAGCAGGGCAGGACATCCCACACGTGTCACATCCCCTCTGGGGAATGGGAATGGGAATGGGAATGGGAATGGGAAGAGGTGGCAGTGCAGAAGGGGTTTAGAATCTGGGGAAAGGAGCTAAAGCGTCCTGCAATGATGGATAAAAAATAAAGTGCTCCTGCAAGTGCTCTGCTTGATCACAGCAGATCGTAGCCTGTGTCAATCACCTGGCACCTTGGGGCTGGATCTGCAGACAAGCCTTTGTCTGACTCAGAAATCTTTAAAAAGAGGAAAATCTGACACAGCCTGTCATGAAGTAAACCCTGGGGAGAGATTTTCCTCCAGGTTTGATTCTCTGAAGAGTCTCGGTGCGCGTTCCGCTTGAAGGAGCGTATCATTCCAGGGAGAGCAGAGTCTGAGCGTTTCCTTGTGCTGTGGGGCTCTGGGAGCTGGGGGTCTGGGCTCTGCCAGGCAGCTGCACAGCAGGGCTTGGGCCAGAGGTCACCTGCACTAAGGCTGGCAGGAGATGTGTCCATCTGCCACTGATAAACGGAGCTGCTCATCTCCTGGGTCAGCGTCTCGCTCCGGAGCGGCAGGCACACAGCTCAGGAGTCCACAGGGCTCCAGGACCTTCCTCAAACTGAGGCTTCCAGCAGTTTTGTGACAATGTTTTTTTCCCCCCCAAAGAAAAGCTCCCACAGGAGAGGTGGCATAGCCCCACTCTGGGATAAGCTCTCTGAAGTCAGGCTGGAATTGCCTGGGGGGGGCAGTGGCATGTTGGTGTGGCCATTCCAAGGGAATCAGAGGATTGGGGTGGGGGCAGCAATGCATTTCCTTCTGGTTTTCACTCAGGTATGGTGGCTGGAGCTTTGGGCTGCCTTTGACAGCAGATCTGCAGTTTGACATCAGGCCAGTGCCCCCCAACAGAACACTGACCAAGGTAAGCAACCTCCAGTCCGTGCCCCCCAACAGAACACTGACCAAGGTAAGCAACCTCCAGCTGCTCATCCTGGCATGGGAAGCGTGGGACTCAGGAGAAGCGATGTCAAGTTCATGGACATTCCAAAAAAAGAAACCAAAAAACCTCCTGAAATCTGCAGCTTGGCATGACAAAGATGACTTGCAGTTCATTTTATTTTCTTTCCCCAATCTTCTGTATTGGTCTCACTTCTCTTGCTAGCAGGAGGCAATTTTTCTGCTGTCATAATTTGATTATACAGAGGTGAAAAGATCAATTAGTAGCACCTTTATCTCATGAGGGGATGTATGTACCATAACGAGGGCTGGCTGGTGCATTCTGATATGCCCATTTCTCTGGTTCAGCTCAGTGAAAATGTTGTAGAACACCAGGGCTGAAATTTGAGGTAGTTTGCACAAGTGAAGCAGGACAAACCAACACGTTGTCAGTAACAACTCCCAAATTGTTTCAATTTCTCCATCAGGTGTGGTACAATCCTGAGGGTTATCACAGCCTCCCAGCCTATCTCAACAGCTTGAACAACTTCATTCTTCGAGCCAACTTGCCAAAAAATGAGACCTCCAGATATGGTAAGTGTCTCTTTATATGAGCAGATAACTTCTCCCCTTTGCAGGGATATCCTGGTTCTGCTGAAATCAATGACAACACTTACCTTGCCTTCAATGAGGCCATTTCTTTATTCACTGTTCTGCAATTCCTTCAAAACAGAATTGAAAAGCATGAATAAATCACAAAGTTCGTTTGTCTTAGTCAGAGGCTCAGGGGAGCTGGACAGGGAGGACCCCAGCTCTTACATAAAACACTTCATCTGAGCAATGCCAGTGGTTGCTGTTTGATTTATTGCCTCTCGTGTGGCACTGGAAGGGCTGTCTCTTGACAGGTGCCCGTTAGTTATGCAGAGAAAAGCTCCTCTAGGTCATCTCCAGGGGTGGGTTAGATTAGGAAATTTTAATATGTCACCCTTCTGCTGAGAGCAGAAGAGTGTGGGTATCTGTGTGCTGCTGTTTGAGTCAGGGCAGGGAGGGTGAGATTAAATGAGAAACATCATTTTCATCTGTGTTTTTCCTCTGACACCTGACCTACACAGATCCAAGGAGTGCTGGTGAGCCATCTGGGGTCCTCAGAGCTTCCCCTCAGTTACACACTGCAGGCAACCCAAATTCCTGCTGGTAAACCAGGGCACCCTGCCTTTCCCTTTGCAGTTTAGCCCCTTTCAAAGTGAAGTGTGGGCACAAACCTGTCTGGAGGTGTGTCTGCCTCCAGAGAGGGCCAGGGTGCAGAAACAAGAGAGAGATTTATATTGAGAAATCTTACACAGATATTTTTGGGCTCTGCTCTGCCAAGAGCAGTAACTGTGCGCAGAAATACCCTCCTGACTGACTTCCTTGGACAAACTCTGCCCTTCCAGCCATGTCCTGGCCAGGCCTAGCCCTGCTCACCTAAGAGAGCCGCTGTCCCTGGTGACACAGGGACAGGTGGCAGTGTCTCTTGGCTCACAGGACATTCCTGAATTGAGCTATAATAGAATCAGGCATCTGGCCTGAAGCTTTGAGTGTGACACCCTGAATTCCAGCAGCAGCAGATGCTGATCGCAAGCGGCCCCAGCGTTGCTTCCCAACTCACACCACTGCACCAAGACTCGGCTCAGCTCAGAGAGTGACACCACAGCCCCCTCAAACAGGCCCTGGCCATCCCCTCTGGGGTTTGCAGTGTGCCCTCAGCTTACACATCACAGAGCTGCAGCCCAGCTGCTGGGAGAGGAGTCCCCAGCCAGGCACTTCCAGTGACAGGAACATCCCAGAGCAGCTGAATTATTAAGCAGCGAAGTTCCTTGCTCTGTCTCTGTATTCCCAACACATGCTGTAGCAAGAGTAAAGGCAGGAAGCTCTTGTGAACAGCCAGAAAGTTATTGCAGGGGAAGTTTTATACCAGCAAAATAGCAATTTTCAGGGGGAAAGAACAGGAGCGGTTTTTGTTCCATCTGTCCTGCTGCTTACGTGTTTTTGGAAAGAAATGCTTAGTAGCAAATGACCAGACAGACAATTCTCTGCTTCCCACTAATCATCCAAGGCAGAGGAGGGGAGAAATGAAATGAATGGATGAGGCTGGTTCCCCTGAGGTGGAGTAAATCCAGTCTGAAATACAACTGAAGGCACGTTCCGTGGGGTACGCTCCTGGCAGCTCCGTCGAGTTGTTGTTGTTGTTGTGACAAATAAATGAAGGTTTAAGAACCACTGAAATGGTCAGATAAAAGTGTGCTGTCGCTTCAGAAAGAGGTGCCAGTCCTGCTTTAGAGGTTTGACTTAGAGTGGGTATATATTTAAAAAAAAAAATACATAAAAAGCTTTTTACCCTGTCACTAAGCAAGTCATAATAGCTTTTGACTTATGTACATTGTGCTTTCTCTTCTCTCAATCCCAGCTAACAAAAAAGGAGGAAGCATTGAAATGGAAATTTTGACTTCTAGCCTAAGCTCCAGTAAAGGAAAATGGCTTTATAGTGAAGTATTAACAGATTAGACAGACGGTATCTTTCTTTCTCTCTCTCCCTTCTGGAGAAGGGAAACATTTCCTGGCTGTTTGTATGGCTTTATCAGCAGTCCAAAATTTTAATCCCATTTTCTCACTGATGACAAGACTGAGGTTTGGTTGGGGTATTTTTGTCTCCAAAATTAATTTCTGATTAAATCCTCTCTTTCAAATTCATTTGCTCAGAATGCTCTTTGGTCAGCTAAACCCTCAAGCTCCTCCCTTCTGATCTCTCCGTCAGAGTGCCCATTCTTAGGGAATATTACCCAGAATAGTTCTTCATCACATCATTCCTAAGGTCTGGCACCTGGCTGTGAGGAGTTTAAATTCCACAGGTGGCACAGTCTAGAAAATCTCTGGATTTAAGAGCAGCTGGAGGTGCCTCAGCACTCCCTGAGGCATTTACTTAGGTGTCAAAATACAAATTGAGAGCCTCATCTTTAGGCACATAAACATGGGAGCCCTTTCTCAGGCTCTGGAGTCTTAGAGGCTGGGCTGTCATCTGGTGGGGCCAAGGCAGAGACCTGCACTGGAGGCTGGAACTGGCCCCTCCATGTTTTTCCATTTGCTTTTGTGGGCACAAATTGCCTCCAGACATGGCAAAAGCACTGTGGTGAGCAATACTATGTGTTCTCCTTGGAGAAGGAGAACTTAAACTACATCTGAGGATACTTGCACATAAGCAGAGAATTTCTCAGTTGCAATTTGGGCTTCATACAAACCCATTTTTAATGGATTTTTTGGAAAACATTGCAGGGGATTTACCAGTATGGTAATTAGATTTTTGCTAGTAACTATGAGCAAAAGACTATTTTTTTTGGTTTGGTTTTTTTTTTTTTTTTCCTAGCTTCTTAAGACAGAATAGTTCAGAATTAACTCACTGCCACACTGAGGGCAAAAGTGTCTGTAGCTTACCTGGGTTTCTGCTCTCACCTGCACAGATCCCATATGGAGAAAGACATCCATATGGAGAAAGTCAAGGCAGGTAGCAGATGTGGAGAAAGGCAGCAGGGAAAGGCTTGTTCCTGGTGAGGAGAGAACAAATGGAATAAGGTGGGATCACCAGACAGCAGCTTTGAAACAGAACATTTTCATCAGTTTTGAAGGCGTCAGTGGTGAGGAATCTAAGCTGGAATACACAGGCCCACAGGGTTGATTTGAGGTGTGGGAAGGGAATGGTGCTGGCAGCCAGACAGATGTAGGAACAAGGCCTAAGGTTTGAGTTTCAGATCTGCTGTGCAGCCAAGTGAAGTCCTAGGAAAAACAAGAATGCTCAAAATTCTGCCCAAGATCACACAGAGATGACAGAGAAGATGCACACTTTTGATCTGCTTCTCTTCTCTCTCAGTTTTCTGTCATATCAGGAGCTGGTGAAGGAAGCTTTAATTTGGACACAATTTCAATTCATCTTTTTTTTTTTTTCCCTGTAGGTATTTTCTTATCAGCTCACCCATATCCTGGAGGACAGAGTCAAGAACAAGTAATGTAAGAAGATTCATTTGGCTGATGCCTGAATTTTTTAGCTTTAAAAGGAGCAAACCAGTTTATTGGAAACCATAAACCAGCCTAAATTACTGGATATCTTACTCTAAGTGATGAAATTGTTCTTGCTTTTGTTCATTCCCTCTACACATGAATAGTGTTCTACTTGCCACCAGAGCTGGGGATTCCTGTGAGGGTTTTTTTGCAGGATCTCATGGAGATCTGGAGGTCACAGTTACAGCCTCACACATTTGTGTGCTTGGGCATAATAATAATAGTAGTAAGTAATGACATAATTTTCCTTTTGGCCTTTCCACCCCATGCTGGGGTCCAGCATTACAGCTCAGTGCTGTGAGTCCCTTTTGCTGGGCATCACTGCCATCAGCAAAGGAAGCAAAGAAAGGAAGAAATTCCCCTCTGTGAGGGTGGTGAGGCCATCCTTGGAAGTGTCCAAGGCCAGGTTGGATGGGGCTTGGAGCAACCTGGGACAGTGGAAGGTGTCCCTATCCATGGCAGGGGATGGAATGGGATAGGCTTTGAGGTCACTTCCAGCCCCAAAGCATTCCAGGATTATAAAAGATGCTGTCCCAGAATCAGGACCTTATTGCTTCTGAGCTCTGACCACTCCCTCACAGTGAGGGAAATCTGCCACTTTCACTCACTAAATGCATCTTTCTCCCCTTCTCTCCCAGGCTCAACAGCTTATTGGACATCATAGTGTCCATGTCTGTTTTGGTGGGCTACTCCATCACCACAGCAAGTTTTGTGCTCTACATGGTCAAGGAGCACCAAACCAAAGCCAAGCAGCTGCAGCACATTTCAGGCATTGGGATGACAACCTACTGGGTGACCAACTTCATTTATGATCTGGTAAATAATTCACATTCCTAAATGCACCATGAGGAGCATTACACAGCATGGGGAAAAAAAAGTTCTTTATTTAAAGTTGGTTGCCGAGACTTCTTCTTATTGCTGCCAAGAGTGTTGTGTGGTAATTGTTCTCCAAGGCATTGGGGACGATTAAATGTGAACTGCAGCACTGGGTTCTGCTAAGCAAAGGCATTCCTGGTCTCTGGAGTGTGTGTAAAACACCCAGCACGTTTATACAGGAGCAGCACGGAGCAGGCTGCAGCTTGATTTCCATTCCAGCAGCCAGCTGCTCCTCTGACAGCAGGGCTGGATCTGCTCTCACCCAGGCTCCACAAATCTGGGGTGAGGCTTTGGGGCTCCAGGCTACAGCCAGTCTGGGAACCCTGGCTGGGACAGCAGCAGGCATCCCACAGCTGACACAACCCTGCTGGGCAAAAACCCATCTCTGGCTTGAATGCTGTCTGTAAGAGTCTATGTTATAAAGTTTTTAAGCCAAGGAAAGCTACAAATGCAGCCTTGCAGGATCTGAGCAGTTCCTTTTCACAGTGCTGCACAGATGTACCTTGCTGAGCTCCCAGCAGTGTGCTGCATTCCCTGGCATAGGCAGTGCCCTTGCTCCTCCTGGAGTTAAGTTTCCTCCTGCTGCAGAGGTTCATGGCACTGTTGGAAAACGTTGCTGGGCCAAGAGGAAAAATGTTTGTAATGTCTGTAGGCTGAAGTGCTTTGTGTCTTCTGCATTCCCTGTGGTGCAGGGTGTCAGACCCTCACACAGGGAGTGGGCAGTGCAGCCAAGCTCAGCTCCTGAGCCTGGGCATTGCCAGCTGGGCTGCAGCAGTGACCAGCTCCACCTATCCCACAAATTCCTGTTGATGCAGATCTGCAAGTGCCTAAAATCCCAGTGATTCCATCGCTTCCTGAAAACAGGAAATCTTCAAGGGCATTTGGGTGACTCTTTGGTGCAAGGAGGACTAAGGGCTGAAATCCCATGGGGAATGTGAGCCAGAAATGCCTGCCTGGAGGAGCTGATGAATGCAGACATCAGCACAAGGATCCCCTGCCCTGCAGGAGGGCTGGAAGGGGTCCCAAGGCAGCAGCACAAGGATCCCCTGCCCTGCAGGAGGGCTGGAAGGGGTCCCAAGGCAGCAGCACAAGGATCCCCTGCCCTGCAGGAGGGCTGGAAGGGGTCCCAAGGCAGCGTGGCCCCAGCCTGGCTCGGCAGTGCAGCCCTGAGCTGCAGCACAGCAGGGAGGATGGAGCAGGCCTGTGCCTGCCTGCCTGCTCCAGGCCCTCACTCCAACACTGCATATTTGTAAATCAGCCTGTGGAAAAATCCCCAGAGCCCTTGCACAGTCGGTATTCAGCGGGCTGAAACTAATCCAGCGCTCTCGGCAACTTGATATTTCTCAGTGAATCCCTGCCAGTAAATTCTGCTAAATCCCAAAGCTGGGGAAGAGAGGAAGCTCTCCAGGCAGATGTTTGGTAGGTCTCTGGCTTGACTCAACACTATAAAGATTTACAGGGCACAATGAAGTGGTCTGACTGCAAGGCTAACAGAAAACCCAAAGGGGTATTTTTCATTCACAACCTTTTTTTAAGGTACTTTCTGCCCACAGTCCTCAGTGCCGAGGCTTTGCCTATTCAAAGAGGCTTTGTGGGAATTCATCTGCAATTCATCTGGGGAGAATTGAGAGCCCACCTGTGTTTGGTTTCCGTTAGAGAAACCAAGCTGCATTTGTGCAGATTCAGTCCTGGCATTGTTTCTTCCGTATTGTTGTAGGAAGGTGTTTCAGAAGCGTTGTCCTAGTAACATCTTTTTAATATCATTTTGCAGGTACTTTTTATGGTCCCTATTGGACTCTCCATAGGAGTTATTTCAGCCTTCCAGATCCCAGCTTTCTGCAACAACAGTAACTTAGTGGCAGTATTTCTTCTGCTCTTACTGTTTGGGTAAGTGTGGAGCTTAGTTATTTAAATATCACTGCACAGGGTAAAGAACTGGATCTTGCAGTCTGAGATCCAGGGGGGGAATACTTGGGCTTTTCTCTTCAACGTGCCCTTCACAAACAGTGACTAAGTTGCTCCTTCCAGGAGCAGGGAGGTGAAGCACTGTTGTTATGCCTGCTTTATTCAGAGCAAACCCTTTGTGAGGATATAGAAATATTCAAGGTCCCAGCAGCAGCCCAAGCTGTAAGCCAAACGCTTGCTGACCTCTTGCAAAGTTCAAGAGTGTTTCAATATCACAGAGAAAAACAAACAGCAGTAGCACAATTCTGGAAAACTTAGACAAACTCTCCCTGGCTCTAAATCCTCCAGGCCCAGTCTCTTTGTTTTCAGGTGGGGGTTCCATGTTCAAAGTATGTATAATAAACCTTTTCTCCAAATTCTAATAGACACAAAGGCATTTTTTCTTTCTTTAAGCTCTGCAATGTGGAATTGTAGTTACATGCCAAAACAGAACTGTTATGTTCCAACCCTGGAAGTGTTCAAAGCCAGGTTAGAAAAAGCTTGGAGCAACCTGATCTAGTGGCAGGTGTCTCTGCCCATGGCAGGGGGTAGAACTGGATGGGCTTTAAGCTCTCTTCCAACTCAAACCATCCAATGATTCTATGTTGTCAGATGTCTTCAGTGGTTTGTTTTCAAAGTAGCCTTTGAGTTACCATGGTTTTCTCTGCTCTGTTGGTATTTATAGATATGCATCATTTTCCTGGATGTACCTGCTGGCTGGGTTTTTCAAGGAAACAGGGATGGCCTTCATTGTTTATGTCTGTGTCAACTTGTTCTTCGGCATCAACACCATTATCACTCACTCGGTTGTGTTCCTGCTCTCCCAGGAAAAGGCCACGGACCAGGTAGGAGCTCCTGCAGTTCTGACCCTGTGGTGACACAGCAGGAGACTTCTTGTGGGCTTGGTGCCTTTGATCAGGTCCATAGCAGCTGGACACAGTCACAGGATTGCACAGGGTTCCCTACAGATGGGACATGAGTCACATATGGATCTTGCTTGTCTGTAAATCTGCATTCCCCAGCAAAGAAGGAAATGATGGTGACAGAGGGCAGAACATGAAAGGAGAGGGGAAAAAACTGAGGACTGTCTTTATAACCACCCTGGTGATGGAAGATGAAGGGCAGGATGTGGGTGGAGATGCTTAATAAAATGGACACTTCAAACCATTGCTGAGTTCTCGCAGCACGAGCTGTGGGGAGTGACAGCTGAATGTCACTGCCCAGAGTGACATGTGCTGCAGTTAACCCAGCACCAGCTGTCTGTCATTTCAGCCTGTAATGCAGTCATCTTCTCCCTGCAAGGATGAAAAACAACCCAGAGACAGTGATGGCTCCCTAAAGCCCTCTCTTAAACTGAGATCTCCCAGGGAATGGCTGGGATAAAAAGCACACCTTACACTTAGATTTCTTTTTTTCTTTTTTTTTTTATGGAGGGCAATTACAATAGCTGGGTTGGATTTTTCTCTCTATCTGGACAGAGCTTGTTCAGCAACCCCTTGGATTTTAGGGATATTCAGTTATGATCACCTTTCATCCCTCTGTGCCCCAGTGGCAGGGAGTCAGTTCCCTTCCATGCTAATTTAGAGCCTCTCCAGTTTTCTTTGTGCACTAATCCTTTCTTCTGCTAGAAATGTACCAGAGTTCTTTACTGTGAGACTGCACTGGGATGTTTGGCTGTGAATTAGCTGGAAAAGCCCTTCTGTGTCTAGAAAAGCCAAATCATTTGTTTTATGGAGATGTTTTTCCAAGGAAAACAGACAGGGCAGTGCTGCAGGGGAGCAGGCTGTGCTTGACAGATTACAGGGGTGCAGTGGCAGGACTCAGCTCTGGCTCATGGGTGGGTTCTGGGTGCTGGAGCAGCAGCAGGGACCATCCTGGGAACTGGCTGCTGTTTACTATGGGTGATCACAACCTCAGAGCTGCCTGTTGACTTTTATGACCTTGTGCCTGTGAAACGAGCTGTCTGCAGAGCTCTTTGCTTGCTCTCAATTTATCTCTGCTCTGAGACACAGGCAAATCCCAATGTAATTGTTACACTTCAGTCCCACAGTAAAACCTATGAATTTATTCCATGGATAAAAGCAGTGACTGACTGTGCTGCTCTTTGTTTTTTTCCAGGGCTTGCGTGATCTTGCTGAAAATTTAAGGCACGCGTTCCTTCTGTTCCCACAATTTTGCTTTGGCTACGGCTTGATTGAACTGTCGCAGGACCAGGCACTGCTGGGCTTCTTAAAAGCCTATGGAGTGGACTACCCTGACAAAACCTTTGAGCTGGACAAGACCACATCCAAGCTGCTGGCCATGTTCATCCAGGGCACCGTGTTCTTTGCCATTCGCCTCACAGTTCACGACAGGATGATTCAGAGAGTCTGGAACAACGTCCTGGAGTAAGTAACACCTGGAGCCTCGCACTGGAAACAGCCCCAGCCAGAGCTCCGTGCTTTCATTCCGGGCTCCCACACCATCACTGTCAATTATGAAGGCCATAAATTTCCAGGACAATCTGTGAGTGTGGAGTGAGTTTTATCTGGCAGAAGACCCAGTAATTAGAGTATTAAGTAACAGAGGTGTAGTTTACAGAGTACCCTGCTAGTTGGTGATGGCTGGCACTGCAGCCCTGGCTCAGGTTTTGGTGGGTGCATGCTCAGCTGTTGCTGAGGGCAGTCATTCCACTGACAACCTCCTCTGTTTGGCTCTCCCCATCTCCTCTGCCCCAGGTGCACACAGAGGGGAGTGAGAACATTCCTGTCACCTGCATTAGGAGCGTGTCCACAAGGCAGGACCTGCTCCAGCCCAGAATATTTGCTGGAGAGTAAAAAGAGGGGAGTAAAACAGGCAGGAAGAGAACACTGGGTGGAGAAAATACCAGGAAAGAATAGAAACTGTTTCTCTGAGTATTGTGTGCATGCCCTGGGATCTCACAGGGAGGCTCCCTGGGATCTATCCCAACTGCTGGCTGTTGCTGGAGTCTCTCTCTGCCCTCCCCCAGGTTCCTGTTTGACAGAGTCCATGGCAAAGCCTCCCTGCTGCCGTCCACAGCCGTAGAGGACGGGGATGTCCAGGCAGAGAGGAGCCGGGTGGAGTCTGGCAAAGCTGACTTCGATGTGGTGCAGCTCCAGAACCTCACCAAGATCTACCACCTCCCTCACAAACGCATCACAGCAGTGAAAAACATCAGCCTTGGGATCCCTGCTGGGGAGGTGAGCGAGGGGGGAAGGCTGTGGGCACCTTCCTGTGTCACTGTCATCTTCTCTAATGGTTTGTTCTGCTCTGGCCCCTTCCTTTCTTTGCCTCATTTATTGATTCTTGGGGTTACAGCAGTGGCTCCTGGTAGATTTGGGACATCAAGTGATAGTCTGAAGGCTCTAGAAAGAGGGAAAGTGGATGGGAATTGATGGAGCTGTATTCAGAGCAAAATGCCTGCGTGCTCTGTTTGTACAGTGCAGTCTTGGGGGTGTCACTGGGGATCACCAGGTGGTAAATGAAGACAGCTGAACATGTCCAGCTGAAATTACTCACCTGAACTGCATGGGAGATGGTAAGTCAGGCTTATCTGCTTGTCTTTTCCCATCAGGGGAAGACAAGTCACTTCAGCTGAACACACATTTTCATGAATTAGGACCTAAAATTAACTCCAAAGCAAAAAACATTCTTTGGTCGTGTCAGTGCAGTTGCCTCGCTGAGAAGTGAGAAGACAGGAATACACAGAGCACCTCTGAGATCCAGAGGAAACTGCAGACCAGATTCTACCTCAGGCTGTGCACCTGACTTCTGGGGAAGCTTGGAATTAATCCTTGGCACCTGGTTTATTTTAATTGCCTGGGTCCCACTGAGATGAGCCAGAACTGACACTGAGATCTCTAGCTTCTAGCAGAATTCAGCCTGATGCTGGTGGGATTTAGGGCACCATCCCCACCTGTCAGCAGAAGCAGTGGCCCTGCACTGCAGACTGTGCACAGATCCTGTTCCTGACCAAGGTGGGGAAGAGCTATGGGTTGCTGTGCATCCCCAGCACAGGAGGACTTTCACATCAGCTGGGCTGTGCTAATGATGGCAAAATAACAGTAATTATCAGCACAATGGTGATGGCTGATGCAACACACAACTGCCTATCTCCAACCTTAGCAATAAAATGTGGATTTTATCAACAGATATGGGAACTACACTGTAGGGAGACAGTTCTTCATCTTACTTAGGTAGTGCTTTGGTGACACTTTGTGACAAAAACCTTGTGTTGATCAAGGTTTTAACCAGTGCCAGCCCAAGCCTCACTCACCCCAGTCCCATGAGCAGCTGTGTCCCTGTCAAAGGGAGGCTTTGCACAAATGAGATGATGGGGATTTGGCCTGAGCTCCTGCAGAAATGCACCTTGCAGTAAAAGGAATGACTCTACTGGAGACACATCCTTGATTCTTCACCATATTAAACAAATGGTCCTGATATAAACTGGAGTATACTCTACCACAAACAACCTCCATTACAACACTGGGATGTTCTTGAGTTCCTCTGGCAATTCATCTTGCTCAAGGGGCTGGAGAAAGAAGGGGCACTGAGCACCCATCTCAGAGCAATATTTCTGCATTACAAATACAGCAGGTTTACACTTTGACTTTTCTCTGGGGAAGCAAATCAACCTGAGAGCAGTTTTTAAGGCTGGGTGGCAAAGGATAAAAAATGTAAAAGTCTGAAATAAAACACTCAAACCAGAGCAAAAATAAATAAGGCAGGGAATTCATCCTTAGAAGGTGGCATGGTTGCTTCCTAAGGGGTTGCATTTTGCTGCTCAGAGGTGTTTGTTCCACTTCAGTCCATTGCAAATGGGATCAGGCTCAGATCCTCAGCAGTGTGATCCCCCTTCTAAGCCAGACCTGGAGACCAGTAGGGCTCCTCAAGCTTTATTTAACAGGTGGAGGCTTGGTGGCAGCTGTGCCACCAGGGTACTGGCAGTAACTGGAGAGCTGCATACTGGACATGCAACCTCTGCTGAACTGAAAGCTGGAGCTCTGCAGAGCCACTGCATTTTCCTTCAAGGGCTGGGGAAGGGGGAAGGGAGGAGGAAAAAGGGGTTTTCTCCCTCTTGTTTGATTCTGGCAATTGAGTGTGTTTACAGTTATGTGCCAACCTCCTTACCCAGGTCCTTGAATGACATCAGTGAGGCCCACTGGTCACTCTTTGGCTACTGTCCTCAAGAAGATGCCTTGGATGACCTGCTGACCGTGGAAGAGCACATGTATTACTACGCTCGGCTGCACGGCATCCCGGAGGGGGACATCAAGGGAGTGAGTAACAAGGGGCTTGACTTGGCAGCATTTTTGTCATTTAAATTAGTCTTTCAGTAGATGCATGTGTGATAATCCATGGCCTGGATGTGGATGTGGAAGCAGAACTCTTGCTCCCCAGGTTGTACTGCAGCTCCTCCAACGGCTGAACCTGATGGCCTACAAGGACAGAGTCACCTCTATGTGCAGCTATGGCACCAACAGGAAATTGTCAACTGCTCTGGCTCTCATTGGCAATCCATCCATCCTGCTGCTGGTGAGAAATGGGGGCCCTGTTGAGGGAACAGGAGCAGGTCCTTGGGCTGGCAGGAGAACTTGGACAGTCTCACAAAACCTCCTCAGGCTTAAGGGACACTCCCCACGTGTCCATGCTTGGCCTGACAACAGAAACCATTACAGGAAAGTTCAGGTTCCAGCAAACACTCATATTTTCTTTGAGGGCAAGAGAGTGGCAAGTCTTTCAGTTTCTCTGGCAGCATCTTCCAGAAGTCAAAAATAGATTGTGTATTTGCCAATTAAACTCTCTTAGTTCCCAGTTCTATCTTGTTTTTTATTTCTATCAACTTACCTGCACAGCCTTGCAAGAAAATAAATGTCTTGTCTTTCACCCTGAATTTCTAGATCTTCCATGAGCTTACCCCATTGCTAAAACATATCTTTTAGTGCAGTTTTCCCACGTGCTGCATACTGAATGTGTAATGCAGAGCTGTCTGAGCAGGATTCCCAATATTAAGTTGGATACCTAGCGGACATAAATATCCCTTGTCCCAAATTCTGTTGAGACTGCTGCCTTTACTTCTGACCACCTGCCAGTGTTCCTGCTGCTTTTGTGAGATAAAAAAATCTCAATAAAAATAGCAGGAGGGAGGAATTCCCTCTGTACTAACTGCTGCCTGAGCCCAGGTTTGTTTGCTTTTTGAGTGCAGATTTCCATTCAGGCCTGTCTCTCCCAACAGGATGAGCCGAGCTCTGGAATGGACCCCAATGCCAAACGGCACCTTTGGAAAATCATCAGTGAGGAAGTGCAGAACAAATGCTCAGTGATACTCACGTCCCACAGGTAGGGCTGGGCTGCTCTGCCTCCCTTTTGGGGTCAGCAGAAGTGTGGAGAGACCCATCCCTGCCACTCCCCACTGGTCCTTGCCCTATTTCAGGGCACTGAGCTGTGACAGGTTTGGGGGTTTGTTGTGGCTAAATGTGGTGTCCACAGAAACTCACAACCCTTTAGGGAAGATAAATGATGTTCTCCAGTTACTTAACCATGTTTTTATACCTTCTCCATGACTTACTAGCGCTTCTTGGTTGGTTTTGCAGCATGGAGGAGTGTGAAGCCCTCTGTACCAGGCTGGCCATCATGGTGAACGGGAGTTTCCAGTGCATTGGCTCTCTGCAGCACATCAAGAGCAGGTCAGTAAAATGAACCTATTTAATTTTCACTCAACAGCCTCTGGAGTTACTGACCTACAGCTCTGAGTGCTCAGAACATGAGACCTGTGTTGTCAAAACACGGATTTTTCCTGGTTCATGTCCCTTATACACCACCGAAATCCTGTGTTAACTGATGCACTTTGTACTCCCTCACATCCTGTCTTCCCAGAACGTGTCCCCTAAAGTAATCTGTCCACTGCTCCAAAGGAGAAATGCATATTAAGGCTGAGCTTTGGTTTTATTAGTTATAACAATAGCTCAGCTTCTTACCAAGTTCCACTCCAGGTTAACAGCCCTGACCCCATTCAAGCTGCGCCGTGCCTGGATTACATTTCCCCAAAGAGGCTGTACAGCACTCTCAAAGTATTTTCTTCATCTGTTTTTCTCTTTTCTACAGTGTTAATTGTGATTTTCTGTTTCCTCTAGGTTTGGAAGAGGATTCACTGTGAAGATGCACTTAAACAGCAGCACAGTTTGCACTGAGACACTGACAGAGTTCATGAAGTCACACTTCCCAAATACGTGCCTGAAGGTAAGCAGGGAAAATGCTTTCAGGAGAGGCTTTCAAAATCCCTTCAAACTCACCAAGAAGATCCTTGCAAGGTGGACATCTTGTGACATTCTGTGCACATAGATCTGAGCTCTCAGAGTCACACTTGTCACAAGCTATGTTGTCTGAGGGCTGGAGCACTCCAGTTCCTGGTGGCTGAAGTGACATCAGCCAAACAGCTGCAGTGACCCTGCGAGGCAGCTGTGAGGTGACCCCCTGCCCTGGGAATGCCCTTCCCACTGAGGCCTGGAATGGATGGAAACCCCCCTTCAGGTTCAGTGGGTAATGAGATGCTTCCAGCAACTGAGTAATTGTAAAACCAGAGTAACTGAGTCACAAATCCCATCCATTGTCTGTAACCCAATCTCTGCATGAATCCAAACTGCACACCTGGAGCTGGAAAATGCTATGGCCACCTTGGAGCTTTCACCCCTGGTACTTTAGCTGTGCTCCCCCAGTCACAAACCCCACAGGAACTCCCAGTGGGGAAACACTGGTCACTACCAGACAGTAACATTCAGAACACACCACAGCCCCTTCTCCTTCATCCTCCCATGGTGCAGCTGTTGGATCTGCTGACTTTTGGCTTTCCCCCACCGACCCTGGCCCCCCAGGATCGGCATTTCAGGATGGTGGAGTACCACGTCCCGGTCTCTGCAGGAGGGGTAGCGAATATATTTGATCTCCTGGAAGGCAGCAAAGCAGCCTTCGACATCAGGCACTTCTCTGTGAGTCAGACAACGCTGGAGGAGGTAAGGAATTAAAATGTGAGGCCATCCATTTAAAACTGCTAACAGGGGAGCAGACTGATGGTTACACATAATGGACTGCTGCACACTATAGACTACAGTTTGAAAGGGATTTCCATCTATATTCCTCCTGGGGGTACTTTATCAGCACTGCTGCCTCCAGGTACCTCTGCTGGTGCTAGGGAAACACACACAGAAAGCTGCCTGGAACATAAAGGATATGTTCTTCCCTCAGTCACTGCTGATTTCAGGAGCCTCGTGGGTGTGGGTGAAGGGCAGGACTATGAATCATCCCCAAGTCCAGGGCTAGGCTTTCACCGGTACTGAAAATTTGCTTAATTTCACTTTTGGGTTGGAAGTTCATTTAGCATTACTCCAAACTTAGCTTTGGGGTTCATTCCATTTTCCCTTGCAAGAACATTCCCAATGGCAACAAAATCTCATAGGGAGCTTATCAGGTGAAGGGATTTCCACAAGGACTATCCAGAAGAAATCATCCTGTTGAGCATCAGCACCTGGAATATCAGGTTTGTCCCAGAGAGAGGAGCAGAGCTGCAGCCCTGCAGCACTATGGATTGTGACACAGCACTCTGGGAGGGGAATTCCTCAGTGCTGCTCCACTAAGGGGCAGTGGCTGTGAGAGAAACAGGCAGGCAAAGCACAGGAAGCCCCAGTTCAAATTCTGTGGGAGGACAGCTTGGATTTGTGAATATGCAAATGTGATTGCAGGGAGTGTTCTGGTAGGAGTCCTTTCTGTATTCATTAGCTGCTGTTGAAAGGAAGGCTGTTAGGTGTGATTTTATACAAATCTCTCTACGCTCTGCAGTTGTGCGTGCACAGATGTCAATTACACAGAGACAGATGGATTTATGAAGTAATAATGGGACTGTATTAAAGTGTGATCAAAATGAGCCACTGCATGGGCATTGCCTCTCTGGCATTTCAGGAACCTGAGCTGCAGGACAATTAGGTTCTGTGCAGGAATTTCCTCTGGATCCCAGGTGTCAATTCCTCAGTCCAGGAGTGCACATCCATTTATTTACATGAGCCCATAGAAGCCCAACAATTTGCAATTCTCACATTCAGTGTGAATCCATCCCCGAGTGTGCTCTCCAGGCTCACAGTCAAATGAACAGCCATGCCTTCTTTATATTCATTCATATCATGAATTATTTATGCTGCCACATACTGAGTGTTTTCCTTTAAACTTCCAGGTTTTCATCAACTTTGCTAAAGATCAAGCAGATCCTGATGGCGCAGACGCAGGTCCTGATGTGATGCTGGACAGCTCTGACACAAGTAGCCAAGCCAGCACCATAAGCTCCATCTATTGAAGGGATCCACCCACACAGGATCATAGAAGCTGGGGAAAAGACCTGACAGCCCCTCCAACCCTGTTTTCAGGGTGATTTTAGGGTGATGGGGATAAGCAGTCCCATTTTCTTAAAGTACTTTGTTTTTTGATATGCACTTCATTAATGTCACTAGGAATATGGTAGTTGTTTGAGACTGGCACTTGGTTACAAATCAGATTGGTCTTTCCACAGGTTCTTTCCTCCCCCCAGTTCTTGTTTTATCACTGTAATGGCTGTGAGGATTTAGACAGCATCACCTGCTGCTCTGGCCGTTTGCTTACAGCAGACGTGGCCGTGATGGAGCAGAGGAGCTGTGGGCAGCACAGGGTGTTTGACCACAGAGCAGCCCCACAGCCACAGAGGAAAGCCCACGCTCCACTCCCTGCCCAGCAGCAGATTTCCTGGGTGACTGAGTGAAAGTGGCTCAGTTTTGACAGGCTTCCCCCTGGGGAAATGGGGCTCACGGCCTTGCCCCTCCTCACAGGGGGCTGTGAGAGTGCAGGTGTTACGGGGCCACTGCCAGGGGCCATCTTTGGTAATGACATAGAGCTTATCTGGTTATGTCAGCACAAATATAACTGTTTTATAAGTTAGTGCTTCCAGTGGTTTTGGTTTGTTCCTGTAGCTTATTCCAGCTCTGTAACTCCTCAGGTGAGTCCTCTGTTCCCAGGTAGTTCCTGGCTCTTGGCATCTGGTGGAAGATGATTCCTCCATGAGCCCCTTTCTCCTTCTGGCTGGAGGTCAGGGCTGCTCTGGTATAGCTGAGTGGTACAGGGCAGCTCTGTTGGCTGAATGCTCTGACAGGAGGAAGCTCTTTGCTTCGTATGACTGTGTTTCCCTGGGCACAGTGGAAGCAAGGAGCATCCCCCTTGCTCACAAACCCTCCATCTCCAGCAGCTTTGCTCCTCTGTGTCCTCTTCAGTGACCTTCTTCCTCAACCCCACGTGCTGGTTGCCCCCCTGACCCCAGAGCTGTGTTTTCCCACATAATAAGGTATCATTAGCTCCTGCTTCAAAGACTCTGCCTGCTGGCTTTAAGGGAGTGCTCTGCCCACTTCTGAGAGCAGCCCCCAGCAGCTGAGTTCAGCACACCACCACACACATCCTGCTCTCTTCCCCCAGAATGATTAATAGATGGAATAGTTTAATATGATTCTTTATTATATGTATCAGCATAAGGCCCCAAAGACTTGGGCATTGATGTACCTTCAAGCACAAAATGAACTTAAACTCTGAGCTCAATAAACTTGCTGTTGCTGGTAAAACAGATTGCAGATAAAGCCTTACCTTGTGAGACCAGGGGTGGCCCAAACAACTCACCTGGGTTCACCCACACAGTTCCAGCCAGGTGGTTTCTTTTTCCTTTGGGTCTTTTTCTTTTGTTGTTTTTTGGGGTTTTTTTTGCCTTCCCCCAAGCTAATTTGAGTCAAAGGAACCTTTGATGAAAGCTGCAACGACACATCTTTGTTACCCTGACCATGACTACGACTAGTTCAGCTCCTACGTGATGCCAAGGTTCGCTGTGATAATCGTGCAAGGAGTAGGTACTTTGTAAAATCCCAAGCATCCTTGATATTCAGTGGGATACTGAAGTTCAAGGTTGAGCTGCTGCAAGGAGGCCACGTCCTCTCCTTGGTCTTGGTGTAAACTTCTTACTGATAGCAGGAGTTTTATAATGGATTGAAAGTATTATTGAGCTTTGAATTATGCCTCAACCTGCTGACTGTAATTAAAACTGGGATTCAGCTTCTTTCCAGAATGCATTTGACACCTGCAGTTTGTAAGTAACTGAAAAAGCTGCCCAGACATCCATTGTAGCTGCTTCTATTATTATGTCTCCAGCACTGCAGAAGCTCTTTTTTCTCATTTTCATTGCACATCTTACACAGATCACAGTATAAAATTAAGCTTTTCTCTAATGGAGGGCTTGTGCTCCCTGCAAAGGACTCAGAGCATGAATGCCAATGATTTAAATGCAGCCTTGTAATACCAATCAGAGCATTATTTTATTATGTCGATGGCTTTGCAACTGCCAGTGAAAGATGGATCTTCAGACTCTGTCCAGATGTACTTTACATGTAATTGAGGGAGACTGATACAAAACTATTCTTTTGTCCCTTTAGAGCCTACTAATCAAACAGGAAAAAAAGAAAAAAAAAAAAAAGAGGAAGTGATTCATTGGAATACTTCAGCAAGTTGCAATTTAATTGTGCAAAACACAGTTTTGAGGGGAAAAAAAAAAAAAAAGAAAAAAGCATCCTTTGAATTTCCACCCAATTCTGGCATTAATAGAAACATCTGCTCCATGTGAAATGTGTCACGGCCATGATCTACGCTCCCCCTTCTCACTCTCAGGTAAAAATAAGCCATCTGCTATTGCAATCAAGTCTGTGGGTATTGGTCCAAGCAAGCCAGAGTTTAGAGACTGGGGGGAATTTAACTGAGGCCCGTAGAGAAATACTTACAACTGTTTGGGGGCTGGAAGCATCTGGCAGGGAGGTTGTATATAATGTCACCAGGGGCTGAATTACCATTTGTGCCACATTACAAACATCCCCATTCCCTGCAGAGACTCAGATTCGGAGGTAGGACACGCTCCAAGCTCAATTCCGAGGCAAAAACCTTGGAAGCCAGTATCCTCCTGCCTCTGAACACCAGCTCCATGCCTCCCATCAGCTCTTTGTCCCCCTGAGAAGGTTCCAGGGGTGGCCAGGAATAGAGCACTGACTGAGAAACCACTCATGAGAATGTGAAAGGTTTTGAGCAGGGTCTGCAGGGCAGGGAAAGGATGAGGTCCCAATAGTGAGTGCCCCCCAACACCAGCTCTCTCTGAATCCCCTCAGAAATTTTGGCTTTATGTGACTCTGCTTTCAAAATGAGCCACCAAGCTTCCTCCTTCCTCTGGCCTGAGCAGGGAGCTGAGGTTGCTGCCGCTCGAGCGCTGTGTACCACAGCACATCACCTCTCCAGGAGCCAGAGGTGAGTGCTGCAGTCTGGGAGGAAACAAGCTTTTCATCTTCCTCCTTTAATTCAGCATCACCTCAGCCACCCCAACAACCCTCAGGAGGCAGCAGTGCCAGGGCCAGCCCTCCCGGCCTGGCCACACAGCCCCGGCTTCACTTAAAATGCTCTGGCACATCGCACACACCGGGGAGAGGCAGTGCAGTCACTCAGCAGGGCCAGAGAGTCGAGGAGGAATTTCAGAATTGGTTGTGTGCATGGCAAGGCTGATTGAAGTCAGGTTTGTAATTTGAGTTGTGGACTTGGAGACAATGATTCAAATCTGCATCCTGGCTCTCCTTCATCGCTTTGTGCTGCTGGGGAGAGCACGGTGCTGCTCCTGCCTGCTTAGCTCTGCTCGGCACAAATAGCCACCGAGGGCTGCTTTTGCAGGGTCAGAAAGGGTCTGGCAGGGGCTGGGGAAAACTGTTCAGAGAAGCCAGTGTTAAGTAAATATTGCAAATATAAATTCAAGGTCTCTGATGGGATTTTTTTGGTCCTTTCCTGAGAGCTGCAGGAGTGATTTTTTTACTGGGTCAGTTCAGAAAACATGTTTACAGCACAGATGAACACATCCAGGTAAACAAAACCCAGTGCTTACTAAAGCTTAGGAGCTGGTGGTGCCCACAGACCTGCAGCCTGTGAGGAGTCACTCCTGGCATCCAAAATTTGCAGGATCCATCCTCATAACAGGCTCGGGATGGGGCTTAGCCTGTTGTAGGAGCTTCAGCTTCCTTCCATTGCTGCAGCTTCACTGAAGCTGCTGTGAGGCTTTTTGGCTCTTTACAAGCCAAGAAAAATATCTGTCTCTTCAGTTAATAGGGGAAAGGTTATTTTGTGAGCTGGTGGAGAAAGAGAAATGGGTTTTGGATGGCAACAGCACATAGTATGATTTTACTCTTTTTTTTTTTTCCTTTTTTTTTTGTGGACTACAGCTGTGATCTTGCATAGCTCCAAAAAAATATCAACAGCATACTAAAAGTGAGCACAACACAGAAAAGCAGCAGTGGGGAATGACAAAAAAATTGAATTCACCAGAATTATTATTCCATGGCAGTATTTAAATTAAAAAAAAAAAATCACTCTAATTAATTTAGTTGTTCAGGGAGAGGATGGAAGGAAGGAAGATGGCACTAAAATAATAAGAACAACATTAGTAAGGGATACAGCCAGCTCTCGCTGTTGGCTCTGCTCCTCATGCTACTCACATACACAGCACTGGGAAGGAGGGAGCACAATGGGGAGCAGAAGGGGGAGTGCAGCCCTTCTTGGGAGGGAGTATCAGAGTTGTGGGGCTGGAGGCTGCCCCATGTACAATCCTGCAGCACCTGGATGGTGGCACAAGCCAGAATGGAAGAGTCCCACTGGTCGAGCCTGGGATGAAGGACGCAAATCCTTGTGCCTGCAACCCGTGGAGCAACACTTGGAACCAGTTCCCTCCTCCAAGTGCTTGTCCTGGAGGATGCAGCCCCCACTTCATTGCTCATTGCTGCTGGAAGACCCTTCTGGGAACAAGGCCTTCAGCAGGGAGAGCAATCCTGAGGGCCCCATGCTGGGGGGGAGACAAGTAAATGGCAACACTCCTGTGAGCTGTAAGGCTCAAAGCAACAAATCTCCCCAACCTCCAGGGTCAGGGAGGTGCTTTGGTTTGAAGCAGTGAGTCTTCCACTAGACCAGCAAGTTGGGTAGAAGAAATGAAGCCTCTCTTGGAAAGAGTTCAGGTCTTCACTGACTTGGCTGACAAAGGGAAAAAACAAAGGGTGGCCACAACAATTTACGGTAACGCACGTGAGATGAAATCCACGTGAAGACAGGGTAATAAGTGAGGCTCTTACCTCCATTAGCAGGTCAAGGGGAGCTCTCAGCCCTCTACTCTCCATGTCCTGGTTGTCAGGGGAAGTGTTTTTGCCCAGCCCTCTGCTTGAGTGTGCACTGCCTATTTCTCAGCCAGAGACAAACAGATTGAAGCACATGTAGTGTGTGACAGGAAGGAGGAAGCAGGATGATCTGCCTCTCCATAACCAGACCCAGCTGAGTTATTCCTGCAAAAGACAGCAATGAATTTAAGTTAAAATGATACCAACCAGATTGAAATGCAATTAAAGGAGTCCCCTTAGGGTTGCACATCCAATTAGTAGCATACCTTTAATTACACCAGCACAGTTTCAAACAGCTACGTGCTGAGAGGGCCAGCAGCACGGAGCTGGAGCCTGCCTGGTGACCCATATCCATGAGGTCCCAGAGGAGGTGCACGTGGCTTTGCATCACCATCAGTGGCCTGCTCCTCTCCTGGAGGAGAAATGGCCCCCAGGGTGGCCCAGCCTGGCCTGGGGGCGAGGCAGAGGAGAAACACAGAAACCTTTTTCAGTTTTGTAAGAGCGATTTTCTCCAACAGACAACTACTGGAAAACAAGATCCAAGTGCTTCTAAAAGGTAAGAGTTTTTCACACTTTTTTGTACATGACACTTCCTCTTGCAGTGCCAGAATGTACCCTGCCTCCAGGAACCATGAAAGTTAAAGCATTAGAGTTGACTTTGGTAAGAAAAGTCATTAAAAAATTAACAATGCAAACATTAGGAATTGCTAGAAGCACCAGAGTACTTCTAGCTGTCCCTTGGCCATCTCTGTGGAGTTACATGAGGTAAAAGAACTCAAAATACACCCCCACCTTTAACCTTGAGCATAATGCCAGCCCCAAAGCTGTGAGTCTGGAGTACGGTCCTTGGTCTGGAGCCTTTGTTCAAGTCCGTGTCAAAGCCTGTCATCAGGCTGCTCTGGACATCAGCAGGCTGTGCAACCACGCCTTGCTCCCCCAGATTCTTATTTGAAATCCTGTCAAAGAGAGAAAATAAAGCTGAATGTGACTCTCCTTTGCCCATTGTGCCACAAAGCCTGAGGGCTGGCATGTGTCGATAAGCCAGGTACCCCTTTTTAATGCAAACTCACATCAGCTTGCATCACATGGAGCCCTGGGATCTATTCTGAGAGGTGCACGGAAGCCGCTGCTTCATCCATCTTCACTTGCTCTTCCTCAAGTGTTTCTTTAAGTACCTTCAGTGTCAGCAAAACGAGCAAAAGTTGAGAGCATAGGTTTAATCAGATTAACAATTCTAATCATTCCCATCCATCACTGCAAAGCAGCTGCGGCGCTGCCGAATCCGTTCTGCTCCAGGAACCCGGAGAATCGGAGCCATACCTAATCAGCCAGACAAGGGCAGCTCTGAGCTTGCTGTAAAGAGGAAGAGAGCCATTGACTCCTTTATTCATTTTTTTTTATGAGCCTCCAGAGCCTTCCTAGAAATTATTAAAGCCTCTCCGAGGAGCACAGCGCCGCAAAGGGAGCAATTCCTCCAGGGCTGGTGCTCACGCTGCGATAACGCCCTGTGTGAACGTACTGGGGCCCAGGATTTTGTTATAAACCACTCTGGCTGCCCATTTGAGGGACCCTCCTGCTCCTCAGGGGTGGGTTATAAACAGGGATGTGTGAAATCAGGCAGGATTAGGGAATACCGTGACGCTGCAGAAGTGGGGACCTGCACAGGGAGGATTTGGGCTGAAGGCCAGGCAGTGTACAAGCATGTGCAACCTTTAAAGAGCTAGGGCTGGGCCCCCAGATGCCTGCAGGGGATGGAGATGTTTGAGGAGGAACGGGATGTTTTGCTTCGTGCCTGCTGCCCTGCCTTTGCTGACAGTGGAGGCAGGAGAGCAGAGGGATGCAGCTTCAGACCGAGTTCATATTTCAACCATGCTGGAAATCCCGTGTGCCAGAACCACATAACTCTGCCAGCCTACAGGAAAATGTCACCACTGGGTGAATGTCAGTGACCTGTGAGAGCAAGAAACCTTCACAGCTCCTTTGGAGAGTCCTGATGTTCTAAGAGGTCATTTTTCCACTGTGAATATCCTACACGGGGTGATTTCAGAGCTTGAAATCAGCTCATATATGATGCTAATATAGTGCCCCTGTGAATAATACAGCACCACTTCTCCCATCAAGTGAAATGGGAGAGGCAAGTGTCCCCCCTGGACTGCTAAATTTCTGTATTACTCACCAGCCTCATCCTGATAAATCAAAGCTGCTGTGTTGTACTTCCCTCCCAGCCCCCTTGGCATTCTTGAGCTCTGGTTTAAGCAGGAATTAGTGGGGGAGCTGGCTTGGGCTGTGTAAGGGAGCTCTCCAGCCCAAGTGGTTATCCAAGTCCTTAAAATTACCTTAGGATGTGGGAAGCTGTTTTCCCATCCACCCAGGCTGTGACATGCAGAGGTGCTCAGCACCAATCTAGTGAAAACAGGAAGGTCTGTGCTAGGGCTTTCCTGTCCCCGTGGGCCTGTTTCCAGAGGGGGGCAGGAAAAAGGAGCCTGTCCAAAGGGTTTGGATGGCTCGGGGCTGGGGAGTCGCAGCGGCAGGATGGGACAGTCTGGGTGCAGGGCTGGGGATGTGCACTGGGCTCTGGGAGGGCACAGGAGCTCACAAACCATCCTGCTTCCCTCAGCTGGATCAAGAGGAGGGATTACAGGAGAATCAGAGCACAAAACCAGGGGTTGTGTTTGCAGCATGGCACATTTGAGTGACAGACCCTGCTAACCCACAGGGGAGGTGGTGTCATCCACTGTCCCGGTTTGGTCCTCTTCCCTGCAGAGGCTGGAGAAGCCAGACCTGCTCCCAGGCCAGGGGGAAACAGCCCCCATGGCTCACGGGTCAGACCTCTGTTTCTTCTGGAAGTTTATGGCAATCCTATTTGTGGATTAAAATGCAGCTGTCGAGGCTGTTGGTACAGGATTTACAACGTGGCCTCAAAATAGAGGAGAGAAGGAAAGCTGAACTCTCCTTTGATGTTTGCAAGTGTAAACTGCAGACCTGAGCTGAACACACTGTAAATAAGGATCATTAATCATCAGCTAAGTGCCGTGCAGTTGCTGTTATTTACTATAACAACATAAATCATCAGGAGCCGCTATCATGTTAATTTGGATTTAGTATGGATTAGTATGGAAAAAAGAATATCCTCACCTGTTTACAGAATACATAACTTTACTTGTAAACCCAATACAGGTGTGCTGTGGCTTTTGTTCCTTAGTTTCCTCCAGCTAGGAAGCAAGTCAGGAAAATGTTCTGGGAGCTCTGCATGTGTGGGATTGCCAACAGTTCAGACCAAGCTGCTGCCCAAAATCTTTCTTGTGCTGATACAGTAAATCAGCACCGAGGGCAAAAGCAAGACCAGGAGGTCTTGGACCTGTTTCACCACCCCCAGCTCTCCCTCCAGCCCCAGTGCAGGGCACAGTGGTGACACTTCCCAGTTACTGCACTGCATCCATGGATCTCTGCAGTAGCTCCACGGGTTTCCTTATTTTTTTGTCTGCACCTCAACTCCAGCTTTCACATTTAAAAAGCACCAGGCATGGGTTTTGTGGGATGCTGGAGCCTGCTGCTCCTCCCTTTGGAAGGAAGGCTTAGCAGGGAAGGAGCATTTAATTTTAAATTAAGGGAGCATTACCCACATATTTCATATTCTCCAGAAATGCCAGCTGATGTATTATTTTTTCCCCCTGATTTGACTTTATTCAAGCTAAAAGGTGGGGCTGAGACACTCATGCACCAGAGCAAGGCTGGCAGGGCACCAACAGGACTGTGCTTGGTGTTTTGGGTGTGGAGCTCATGCCAGATTGACCCCATCCCTCTCTACAGATCATTTCTAATTTGTTGTTAAGAAATCACAGCAAATTTCTTCCCAAAGTTAGTGCAGCACTCACAGTCCTGATGTCAAAGTTATAAAGGATAAAGTTATCTGCTTTATCCTGGTGGAACTGGAGGTGCTGAGCCCTGAGTGAAGGTGTGGAGATCCCTGACTGACCTCATGGAGGTCACCAGTTCTGCTTTGGCTGGAGGTTGGTCCTGATTAAGAAATAGGCCTTGATATCTGGGAAACAATTATGGTTTGCATTTATAAAATGTAACTGGAAGGGAAATAAAAAGGATTTGATTTTTTTGGGGTGGTCCAAAGATTTCCCTTAGGCTTGCAGCTGCAATGTTACATTTAAAAACAGTCACAGGTAAAAAGAACAAAAGCAATGCTGGACCTGAACTTGCACTCCACCGGGTCAAAAAATGCAAGTAATTGCCTTTAATGGTTTCTGTCATTTTTAACCTGTGTTTTGTGTGTGCCAGATGAACAGACATCAAACCAGGGTGAATCTCTCTAAGCGCTGAGCCAGAGCTGAGGTTTGCATAAATTAAAACTGGGTTAATTATAATAACTCTAGCACAATAGGGATAGGATAACAAGATTAATTAGAGGGGGGCTAATAAGAGGGTTCGAGCTACAGCAGTACAAAACCTGCACCCAGCTTCACCAGCGGTTTCCTTGGACTTGTCTCCCACTCAAGCTGAAGGGCAATCCAACATCTAAAAGCCTCTGCAGAGCCTTGACTGTGTTTTCCCGAGCATCCAGGCTCGCCTCGCACCGACCATATGTCTGTCTCTGTCTGCTAGCAGATTGCACCAAATATTTTCCTTTCTTATGGTGGCTGAGCAAACAAACACCATCTGTGGGGCTCGCCGAGGGAAATCCTGGCCCCCTCGGCGCCAACGAGAAGGCAGCCACACGTGTCCATGGCGCTGACATTTCTGACATCCATAGCTCGAGACAAGAACTCCCCTCTGCTCCTCATCTCTGCCCATCTGCCCAGCTGGGTCAGGACCTGGCATTTTGCAGATTTAAATTCAGATTTTATTGAAGAAAGGCTGGGTCCCATCAAAGCAGACTGCCTAGCCTGACGCAGGTTAGGTGGCAAGTAGAAGAGGGCAAGGATGTTTTTTGGGTGTCTCTGTCTTGGATGTATCTGCACTGCTGGGGGCTTTGGGCATTTTCCAGCCTTGCTGAAATCCCTCAAACCCCAGAAGCGATGGGCATTTTTGGTCTTGCTTGACCTGATTAGAGCCAGAGTTCTTGGAGGGCAGCTGTGTGAGATGCAAATTCTTCCCTGTTCAAGCCTTTTTTCCTTTGGAAGTTGAAATTCTGGGGGTACCACTTGGTAGGGAGGATCTGTGCCATCTATCCATGCAACCCAGCATCGGAGCAGGGGAGCATCAGCAGCTACTGCAGCAAAGGTGTGAACGTGGTTCCCAGCTGGGCACAAGGTTTTCTCGTGCTTTGCTGTTCTCTGTTACTTGCCTTTCTGCAGGAAATCCCTTTTCTGGTCACATCAGAGGGTAATTTAAATTTTGTCAAATCCCCCACAGTTTTGACCCGTGTGGGCATTGACAGAGCTCTCCTGCTGGGTGATGGGCAGGTGGAAATTACCTGTCACCTCTGTTGCTTTTCCACTTGTGCTTCTGCACTGCTGGGCCCAGAGCTTGTGCTCTGACCAAATCTTTTGTACAAGTGCTCCTTGGATTTAGCAATTCGCACGGTGAAAGCAGAACCAATGAACCACAGGCTTCTCTGCTGCTGCCTTTAATTAAAAATGCCATGTCTAACACCAGCAGATGTTCCTGCTATCGAGACTTGAGGAATAATTTAACGCCGTGTAACGCAATGCTGACTGTGCTGCTTAGTCTGAAAGTGTAATATACTTTTTTTATTATTATTATTATTATTATTTCCTTTCGGGGATCAAGTCCCTCAATATTTGAAATTTTAGAACTTGGTAGTCTAACAGCCCTAATCAATTACTGCACTGAATGATCTCAGCAGCCTGATGTCTGTCAAACCAGCGCTGCAGCCCACGCTGCCTCTGCGACCATGGTGAGCTCACAGGGCTTTGGGTCAGGAGCAAAATTGGCCCCAGAGGGGTGGCCTGAGGAACAAATGAAGCCTGTTAAAACCTGTGATTCAGACATTTGGGGAGAGAGGGGATTCAAAGATGAGGCTGTGCCTCCTCCAGTTTTTCCTGCAGTCTTCTGATGAAGAGGATCCATCCTGTCGCTTGTTGTGGGTGCTCAGCACGTCGAGCTGGGCACCCTTTCCTGGCAGGGCACAGTGGTTTCAGGATGTTCTCTGTGTTAAGGTGGATGAGAGCAGAGGGATCCCCTCTTCAAGGAGCTTTGGCTCTTTTAACCCCTAGGAAAACAACTGATTTACGAGACTCAATGGAACTGCTT